GGGGAAGGGAGAGAAAAATGAGGCGCCGATACCAAGAGCCTAAGTAAAAAGAAAAATGTTTACAAAATGATGATAGCAACAATTCTACAATTGTGCTTGACACAATGGATGGATGTATGGACTGTGATAAGAGCTCTACAAGCCCCCAATAAAATGATTTAAAAATAAAATATTTGCGGGTTTTTACAGATATCATTTTGTAATAATTTCCCATTCAGTTGTGCTCTTATGATGTGTAATTTCACTTATTTTACATTCGTTTGATAGTCCAGAGTAGGGTCTCATTTGATGGCTGCTTCATATGCATTGGGTACAGTATGTTCTATAAATATGAATTAGATCACATCAGTAGTGTTTGTCTTCTGCATCCTTATTGGCTTTCTCTCTACTTGCTCTACAATACTATCAAATATTGAGAGTGTGATATCTGTTTGTATTTGTAGGTTCTTGGGGTTTTTTTGTATTATTAGTTTTATCGACTGGTTCATGTGTTTTGAACCTGTGCTAATGAGTGCATACATACATTTTGTATTGCAATACTTTTCTGATGAATTGACTTTTTTCCCCTCCTCATTATGAAATGCCACTCTTTATATCTGGAAATTATAAAGTCTGCTTTGTCTAACATTAATAATAGCCACTCCAGTTTCCTTTGATTAGATTTTTTATCACCTTTTTATATTCCTTAACTATTAATATGCCTGTGCCTTTATATTTTAAAGTATCCCTGGTGGTGTGGTGGTTTCAGATTGGGCTGTGTTCCTCAAAGCCTGCAGTTCAAAACCACCAGCTGTTCCAAGGTAGAAAGGTGGGCTTTCTACTCCTGTAAATAATCAGTCACAAACTCAAAAGGGGCAGTTAGTTCTACCATGTCCTTCCTATAGGGTTGGCATCCTATAGGCTATGAGTCGGCATCAGCTAGGTGGCAGTGAGTTTTTACATATTTAAAGTAGTTTTCTTGCAGGCAGCGCATAATTGAATCTTGCTGTTTTATTTAGTCTGCCATGCGCTGGCATTTAATCTTGAAGAGTTTAAACCGTTTCACAGAAATGTTTATATTATTGGGTTTAATATACTATTTTGTTATTTCTTTTGTCTGATCAGTTCTTTGTTTTTGCCCCCCATTCTTTTACCTTAGTTATTTTTTTTAATAATTCATCTTATCTCCTGTATTATTTAAATACTACATATTTTCTTCTTATTGTGGTAGAGGCATACATACCAAAACATTTGCCAACACTGCAACTGCCACATTGACAACTCAGAGACTTTGTTTGCATTTTTCATGTTGTACCACCATTATCATTATCTTTATCCAAAATGTTCTGTCACCATTAACATAAACAAGTCCCCTCAAACAAAAACTCCTTTTCCTTTCCCTCCATTCTTGGTCACTACTAAAACTCACTGGTTTCTCTGTATTTGTTTATGTCATATACGTGTGATCATACAGTATTTGTGTTGACTGATGTTGTTTTCATGCATTATGTTTTCAAGGTTCATTCAAGTTGTGGCACGCATCAGAACTTTTTCCTCTATTGTTTAATGTATATGCCACATTTCGTTTACTCACCCTTTTTTTGGTTAGACGTTTTTCAACCTTTTGTGTAATGTGAAACATGCTGCTCTAAACATTGGTGTTCCTACCTTTATTTATGGGTATAAACCTAGAATTGGAATTGTTGGGTCATATTCTGTGTTCAATTCTTTGAACTGTCAATTTGTGAGGGTTCCAATTCTTTATAACTTTGCATTTCTTTAGAGGATTGCTATGAATCAATGGCAGTGAGTTTGTTTTTTTAATAGGGTGACTAACCCATTACCATCAAATTGATTCTTACTCATAACAGGATCACTATCAGGCAGAATCAACTCAGGTAATGAATTTTTTGGTAAAGGCCACTGATGTTGAGTTTTTAATTTGCTTGTTGGGCATTCGACTATTGTCTTTGGCTAACTGTCCAAGTGTTTGCCTATTTGGGTTGTTTGACATTTTGCTGTTGTAGAAATTTTGTACATATTTTGGATTTTAGGCCCATTTTGGTTACCTAGTGCTGGTATAACAAATAACACAAGTGAATGACTAATTCTTTCACACTTTAGGAGACTTGAAGTCCAAAATCAGGGAAGCCGCTTTAGGGGACAGTTTTCTCTCTGTTAAATTGTAGTTTAAGAGGAAGATCTTTATTTTCTTTATTTTTTTCTTTTTTTTGACCGGGCACTCCTTGGAGATTTCCTTGTGTCTTATCAATCAGGAGCCTTCGTGGTGTCATGGCTACTCGTTGGGCTGTGTCAGCAGTTTGAAATCACTAGCTGCTCCACCCAAGAAAGTGGAGGCATTTTACTCCTGTAGAGAGTTAAAGTCTCAGAAACTCACAGGATCAGTTCTGCCCTGTCCTGTATGTCACTGTGAATCTTGGTGAGTTTTGTTTGTAGCATCAATCTGCCCTTGGGTCTTAGGTATTCAGCGTAGGGACCTGATGTCCAAAGGTCATGTTCTGTCCCCACCCATTCCCTCTCTTCTACCAGGCACCAAAATCTCTTTTCTCTGCTTACATGTTTCATCTTTGATCTCTTTAATATCAAAAATGAAGTAGGCTCTACCCTAGGGTAGCTCCTTCAATCAGCGGTACTCAACCCGCAGGTCGCGACCCTTTTGAGAGTCGAATGACGCTTTCACAGGAGTCACCTAATTCATAACAGTAGCAAAATTACAGATATGAAGTAGCAACAAAAATGATTATGGTTGGGGGGGTCACCACAACATAAGGAACTGTATTAAAGGGTGGTGGCATTAGGAAGAGTGAGAACCACTGCCTTAGATCATATCAGGGCTGTGACATAAGTAAGCATATTATACCCTACCCTAGTCACCTTGCTCCAACACTTATTTCTCAGCTTTACATAGTGTAGTGGCTTTTGTTTTACTGATGCTAGAGGCTATGCCACTGGTATTTCAAATGCCTGCAGGGTCATAAAAATGAACAGGTTTTAGCAGAGCTTCCACACTAAGAACAGAGGGACTGCTGCTAAAAACCTTCCGGCATAGCTTTGGAACATTGTCAGAGATCCTGCCAGAGCTGGGCCCCTGGGGTCGGAGGGCACTCACACTGTGACTGAGGGGGAGCTGATTTCATGGAGTGCAGTCAGCCTTCGTGATGTGAATCAGGTAAATCTTTTGGGGGGGGCGGTGGAGCCTTCGGGATCACATCACTCAAGATAAGAAGAAACAGCTGCTAAAGATCAGAACTTGGAATATGTGAAGTATAGACCTAGGAAGATTAGAAGTTGTCAGAAATGAAATGGAATACATAAAAATTGATAGCCTAGGCAGTTGTGCACTAAAATGGACTGGTATTGGCCATTTTGAATCAGAAAATCATATGATTTACTGTGCTAGGAATAAGAGGAATCGTGTTGCATTTATTGTCATAAAGGACATTACAAAATTACTTTTGAAGTACAATGCTGTGTTAGTCCAGGTTGATTAAAGAAACAAATCCAGGGACACTTAAGTATGTGTAAGAGAGATCTTTATATCCCAGAGTATTGCATATTGAGAAAATATCCCAGTCCAGTCCAGACCAAGTCCGTAAGTACAATATTGGCCCAGTGTTCAATAATCTATGAATTCCTCTTCAGACTCAATGCAGCACATGCAATGATGCCGCATGCAGGAAGATCACAGCCCAGTGGGTGAAAGTCTTATGGATACAGTGACAGTGGAAGCATCTCAGCACTGCAAGGGTCTCCATGGGGCTCCTCAACAGGGAGGTGAAGCAGAGAGTGAGTGTGTATCCTGCCTCCAGGGAGGAAGAGAGGAAATTCCCCAAATCCTAATGAGAAGGCCATGCACATAAGGAGGCAGCATCAGGCTGTGACCTGACTGACAGGGAAACCCTACACTTATTTATCAAGTTGAAGAATCTTCATTCCAGTTGGAACTTTGTGAAGTCTGCATCCATAAGCAAAGTCAAATTAGGACAGGCTATCCATCCATAAAGTCAGCAACAATGTGCACCAGTTCACAGGCTCAAAAATATCTTCATCTGGTTGGGTTCTGGTCAACTCAGTATGGGCTGTCTCACTTAGCCTCTCCAAGGTGCCTATTGGTCGCCTTGGCTTAGACCAGGCGTCCTCAAACTACAGCCCACGGGCTACATGCGGCCCGCCGAGGAAATTTATCTGGCCCGCCGGTATTTTTTCCCCGTTTGTTTTTTTACTTCAAAATAAGATCTGTGCAGTGTGCATAGGAATTTGTTCATAGTTTTTTTTTAAACTATAGTCCGGCCCTCCAACAGGTCTGAGGTTCAGTGAACTGGCCCCCTGTTTAAAAAGTTTGAGGACCCCTGCCTTAGACCATGGGCTCTCACAAATACTCAATAAGCCTAGCCCCCTCATGCTAGGTCAAGGTTTATTGTGCCAACCTGACTGATAAACACATGTGGGATTAATTGAAGGGCAGAGAGACAAATGGCTTGGCGAGCATCGCCCTTTTGGTTCTCTGGTCTCTTGCTTTGCTCTCTGATGGTCAGACCAGTGGGCAGCTGCCTTGGCTAGTTCTCTGCCTCAGCTGGCAAGGCTCACTTCCTGCAAGAAGCCCCATGGACTTACCCTGATGCAGCCTTGGGTGCTGAAAAGCCGCGTGGAGACCTCTGCCAGCACTGAGATGCTTACACCACCACTAGATTCACTAATGATGGATCAATGGAAGAATTCTACCAACAACTTGAGTCGGAAACTGATCACACATGCAATCGAGATGCATTGATAATTATTGATGATTGGAATGCAAAAGTTGGAATCAAAGAGTAAGGAACAGTATTTGGACAATATGGACTTGGTGAGAGAAACAAATCTAGAGATCTCCTGATCGAATTTTGTAAGACCAATGACTTACTCATAGCAAATACTTTTCTCAACAACACAAAAGGTGACTATACACATGGACTTCTCCAGATAGAATACACAAATGAAATTGACTGTATTTATGGGAAGAGATGCTAGAGATTCTTAATATCACCAGCTCGAATCAGACCAGGGGCTGGTTGGACCGGATCATCAGTTTTTTATATGTAAGTTTAGGTTAAAGCTGAAGAAAACTGAAACAAGTTCACTAAAGCCAAAACACAAGCTTGACTATCTCATCTGAATTTCAAGGACACCTCAAAGCGCAGTTTGAGAAGACAAAAGTCAAGTATTATCATGAAATGTACAAAGACCTAAAGTAAGGAAACTGAAAAGGAAGAACATAATCAGCATATCTGAAACTGAAAAAAAAAGAAAAGAAAATGTAAGCCGTGAGTTGCAATATTGAAAGATTGGATGGATTAGGAAGGGAGCTAGAGCGACCGCAGTCCAGACTCCACCGCACGGCAGGTCCTTCTCGGCGACAAGAACCACGCGCCCCACCCCTTCCGCGGGCCTCCGGGCCGCCCCCGACCTACCAGGTGTTCAAGGAGGAGCACGAGGTGGACGTGCTGGGGGCGCCCCCCACCCCCGGCCCGGCGCCCACCGTGATCAGCATCCGCAGCGAGGTCTCCGTGCCTGACCACGTGGTCTGGTCCCTCTTCAACACGGTGTACCTGAACATCTTCTGCCAGGGCTTTGTGGCGTTCGCCTACTCGGTGAAGTCCAGGGACTGGAAGATGGCAGGCGACGTGATTGGGGCCCAGAGCTACGCATCCACCGCCAAGTGCCTGAATCTCTGTGCCCTGGTCTTCTGCCTCCTCATCTTCGTGGGAATAATCATTGCCACGGTCATCACAGTCAGCAGGTCCGGGGTTGCCATACCCTCCTCTGGGCTACTGAGACCCTTCCCTGTGGCCAGGCTTTTGGTTTGGGGTCCCCAGCCACCCCCACATCTGGCCCATTCTCAGTGATTTGCCCATGTATACCTGACAAACCGTGTCCGTAAAGTGGGGAAAAAAGGTTGGGTGGGCAAAATATTGAATGATGTAGGAATCATCAAGAGGAGATGGAAAGAATACACAGAGCCAATGTGCCTGAAATAATTGGTCAACAGTCTGCCATTTCAAAAGGTAAATATAAGCAAGTGCTGAAGGAAGAAGTTCAAGCTTCATTGACAGCACGAGCCAAAAGCAAGTGTTCAGGAATTGTGGAGTATCTATTGAAATGTTTTATCAAGCTGAGGAAGCATAGGGAGCACTCCCTCATCGATGTCAGGAAACTGGAAGACAGCTATTTGGCCAACTGACTGGCCAAAGAAAGGTGACTCAACCAAATGCTCAAACTACAGAGTGGTATCATTGATATCGCATGCAAATAAAATTTTGTTGAAGATCATTCAACAACAACTGCAGGAATACATTGACCAGGAACTACCAGAAGTTCAGGCCAGATTCAGAAGAGGACATGGAACAAATCAGAGAATACCAGAGAGATGTGTTGTTCACTATGCCATAGCATTCAACTATGAGGCTCATAACAAACTATGGAAAACACCTGAGAAGAATAGGAATTCCAGAACACACTATTGTGCTCATGAGGAACTCTTGTACGTGGATCAAGCAGCTGGTGTGTAACCAGAACAAGGATGGTTTAAAATCAGGAAAGGTGTGCGACAGGATTGTATCCTCTCACTGTACTTAGTCAACCTGTATGCTGAGCACATCATCAAAGATGCTGACTTATATGAAGAAGAATGAGGTATCAGGATTGGAGGAATGTTTATTAACAACCTGCGATGTGCAGATGAAAAAACCTTGCTGCTTGAAAGTGAGGACCCAAAGCACTTGCTGATGAACACTGAGGATTGTAGCCTTCAGTATGGATTGCGATTTAATGTCAGGAAGTTTAAAAAATATATATCAGAATCTTCACCACTGAACAAATAGGTAACATCATGATAAATAGAGAAGAGATTGAAGTTGTGGACGAATTTGCTTTGCTTGGATCCATAATCAATGGCCAAAGAAGTAGCAGTAAAGAGATCAAACAATGATTAGGTTTGATTAGGCATTAGGTAAATCTGCTGCACAAGACATCTTTTGAAAAGCAAGGATGTTGCTTTGAGGACTAAGGCATGCCTGACCCAAGTGTGATATTTTCAATTGCCTCATATACATGTGAAAGTTGGTCATTGAATAATGAAGACCAAAGAAGAATTTTGGTTCTGGAGGAGGAACATTGAAAGTATTAACTCTGCTAAAAGGACAAACAGATATATCTTAGAAGAAATAGCCAAGGATGACAGGACTTCATCTTACACACTTTGAGCATGTTAGGAGAGACCAGTCCCTAGAGAAGGTTATGCGCAGTAAAGTGGAGGGGCAGCGAAAAAGAGAAAGTCACTCCAAGAAGGATTGACACAGTGGGTACAACAATGGGCTCAGGCATAAGAACAATAGGGTGGTTGCCACAGGACCACGGTCAGTGTTTTGTTGTCATTGGGTCTCTGTGAGTCAGAACCTACCCAATCACACATAACAACAACAATAATCTCCCTGCAGCTGATTGGCTGATGTGTTAGTCTGGTTAGACTGGAGAAACAAATTCATGGACACACATGGGTATAAGAAAGAGATTTATTTATATTTTTAAGAAAGCGATTTATATACAAGAGCAATTGAACATTGAGAAAACATCCCAACCCAGTCCATTCCAAAGTCATAAGTCTGATAGTAGCCCATATGTTCGACACCAATCCATAAAGTCCTCTTCAGACTCACGAAACACATGCAATGATGCCAAATGCAGAATGATCACAGGCCAGTGGCTGCAAAGTCAGTGGTGGTAGAAGCATCTTAGCGCTGGCAGGGGTCTCCACCTGGCCATTCCAGTTCCCAGGGCTGTATCAGGGTAGGTCCATGTAGCATCTCCTCAGGGATGCCTCACAGGAAGTTAGCCTTGTCAGTAGAGAGTCTCCAAGGAAGTGAACTGAGATAGATAGTGTCTCCTGCCTCCAAGAAGGAATTACCAGATTTCCCAAAATTCTCAGGAGAAGGCCATGCCCAGACAGGTCTCATTGGTTATCTCCAGATTGACAGCCTAGACCCCACCCTTACACTCATAATCCTTAAATTGACACCAGTTTAGGTGACTACCACAGCTGAGTACGTTAGATCACACTGTGGGGGATGATCCCATCATTTCCTAACTGCCAAGTCATATCATTACATAACTACTAAGGCACTGATATTCCCCACCCAGCCAAGTTGATGTATATTTTAGAGTAGAACACATGACAGGTTTTAGCTCTGGGTGTTGATAATCTACCACTGAAAACTAGATCCCACAGCCTTGCTCTGATAGATTTTTCTAACAATTTTAGGTTTTCCATTTCACTAGGTCCTTGATCCATTTTGAATTGTTTTTTTTTGTGTGTGGTAGGAGACAGGATCATTCTTTTGCTTGTGGAAATCCAATTTCCCCAGTACTGTTTATTGAGACTCTCCTTTACCATTGAGCAGATTAGCAGCGTTGTCAAAAACCAACTGACCACAAATGGTGTATGAATATAATACTGGACTTTCCATTCTATCCTATTGGCCTATACTTCTATTATTATACCACTAGCTATACCAGTTTTAATTGCTGTAGGTTTGTAGTATGTTTTGCAGTCAGAACGTGTGTTTTTGCTTTAGCGCTGGGGGTTGGGGGGAAGTGGTCCCTTGCCCTTAAATGCAAATTTGAAAATAGTCTTTTCTATTTCTGCAAAGAAAATTGTTGGAATTTATAAATTGCTGTGGATACTATCAACATCTTACTTACCCATACAATCTGTGAACACAGAATGCTCTTCCTATTATTTGGGTATTCAAGTTCTTTTAGTAACATTTTATAATTTTTCTGTGCACATGTCTTTTACCTACCTGGTTAAATTTATAACTAGGTACTTTATTCTTTTAGATTCTGTATTAAACAATAATACTTCCTTAATTTCTATTGCTGATGGATAGAAGCCAACTGAGTTTATAAATATATAAATTGAATTTAAAGAAAACCTGGTTCAAGGAAAGAAATGTAACCATTAATAGTATTTGTAATCATTAGTTTTGAAACATTTAAAGGTTGTATAAAACCTTTTTTTTACAGCTTTATAACTAGCAACTAGTAATTTTACTTTCCTGCCGTATCAGAAGAGCAACTCATTGCTTTATTGCTTTCTACCTGAAGTTCCATAGAATTCATAACCCTAGACCTGTTAGGTAAAAAAAAATTGCCATGCACACATTCCAATTAGAATTCCTCGACTGCCTCCCAAATATGCCACATCTTTTTGGAGATGACAGTGCTTCCAACAGTATGCTTCCAAGTGTATAGGCATAATAAATTAATTCAACCATCTTATCTATTCAGAGTAACGGTGTTTTCTTAAGAAAACTAGGGAAAGTCTTTAAAAAATGTCAACAGCATTATATATTTGTTGGTGATAAAAAAAACTCATGTATATCTTGATGGGCTCATCAAGCCAGGATTTCATATACCCAAAAAAGGGGGGAGGGGAAGACCAGAAAAACAAAAACATACAGCAAAAATTGGGTCTGATCTGATTAGAAATGTGTCTATTTTGTGCTCACTATCCGATCCTTGGAAGAAAATTACCCCCCCAATGGGCTGTGAACTTCCTTTTTATTTATTTTTTACTTGTTTTGCTTTTTCTCCTTCTACAAAAGTATTTGTATATCAGAGTCATACAGTTTTATTGCAATAATCTTAGCATTGTATCATTGACCCCCATGCATTTGAACAAGTTTATATTTTGTTGTACAAATATGTAATAAAGAAACATCAATGAAAAACAAAAACAAAAAACCTCATGTATGCAAACCTTAAAGACTTGGAAATAGTGTTTTCAGCTTAGTGGGACTTGAACCTATTTGCTAAGCATATTAAAACACATGCCTACTAACTTCAAAAATCTGATTTCTGTCAAGGAACATGGATATCTACTAGCTGGATTTCAGTTGACGCGTTTGTTTACATGTTTGGATAGGATGGGAACGTGGTATCGTGATTGAGTTCCTGTAGCTGTTTCTGTTTCTCCTGCTACCATCTTTGTCACAGCCGTACAAAGCTTGGGTCAAAAGCAGCCAGTCTTGACTGTCATACCTTTGAATCACTGCATGTGTGTAAGAAAGGTTTTTGTTGCCACTAACAAGTAGAGGTTTTAAATGGCTCTTGAAATATTTTTTATCTCTGGCTACCTCCTTAAAATTACAATTTAAAAAATCTTATTTAGGGTATATATTCATTAACCTAATCATGCATACAGCTTAGTTAAGCAAATGGAAAATGTGCTAATGGTGGAGTGTCTCAGAAAATCTTGGAGACAAACCATCAGGTCGTAGTTACCGCTTGTCTCAACCACTGCACTAGTCGTCTAGGTGATTTCCAATCTTGCCTTCTCAAAGCTATTCTCTGCTAATGGCTGGGGCGAGTTTTACGGTCTGTAGCTGTGATTGTTTAGCTCTTCTGCTTGATGAACCGCACGCACACACAAATCTTTAACACCATTCTGTAAGGCCTTGTGTGATCTAGCTTCGATGAGCTTCTCACTGCTCTTTCTCCCATGTGTCTCCCCCTCTGGCTAGTTACCTTTATAATCCCCGCGCCCCCCCCTCACTTCACTTCCTACATGTCTTTTGGGTCTTATCCTGAATGGTCCTTCCTTGGGAAAGTTCTTGCTTATCTTCCTGGCTAGATTACACCACACACACACTCATACCAATTTATAAGAACTTATGTAATGCTGTGTAGAAAGGGTTGTTTTTTGTTGTTGTTGTTGTTTGTTTGTGGGGAAATAGAATTAAAAGAGAATAGAATTCTACCTTTTGAGCCCCTTTGCATATGCTTGCCCCCGTCATTGTATTATTCCAGTTATTAGAACATCAGCAAGTTAAGTAGCACCCCAAGAGTTTGGGTTTCATCTTTAGGAGAAACAGAGCTGTTGGAGGCTCTGTGAAAAGTAGGAGAGTGTCAGACACTTCTGCCCTGTCCTGTTGGATCACTGCGCTGCAAGTGACTTCAAAACAAAAGTAGAGCGATGATGAAGTCTACTACTAATATTCAGAAAGGCAAATTGAAGACTGTGGCCTAGTGAAGGAAGAGAAACTAGAACTGGGAAGAGCAGCAGGTACCATTGTAAAGGAAAAGAAAGGTGAAGACCAGCGTCTTTACAGTGTAGATGGAGCAGAGACGCTGTTGAGTTCGTGGGCATTTTGGAGTGAAATGTAGCAGTATTTGATGAGCAAGCTGTCTTTTCAGAGAAACTTGGACTAATAACTTAGCCATTTACTAGGTAAGTGAGTATAAAACAGTAAACACAATTCACAGGAGATAACCTCTTGCCACTGCTCTATTTATAATGTTCTTAGTAGCAAAATTAGATTTTGACTTTCATACTACTTGGATTTCTTTTCACAGTTGATTTTTTCACTAATGGAAGATGTGATTATTTAAAAGTAAGCTTTTAGGTATGTTTATATCATTTAGCCCCCAACCTTTGCACAATTTGGATACATGAAACAGCTGTTCTGGTTTCGAAAATTGAATTCTCCCATAGTGACATTTCACCGCTTTCTGACCTGGTGTTTTCTTCGTGTGCCAGCACTAGGCTAGTATAACATACAAAAAGTACCCAACTTAGTCTCTTCTGCAGTTGCTGTCTGTGTCCAGGTATGAGGAGGAAGGGTGTGAAATGGTGTGGAAATACCCATGTAGGTTTTTTTCAGTCCATAAAAGTGTTATGATTTGAGTCTGTATAATAGGTACAGTTATTTTTACTTAGCATATTGTTTCTTAAGTACTGCTTTTTTTAAAATTAAAGTTTTTTTCTTAAAAGTAATTTCTTAAACTAACATAATTTGCTTCTCAAGAGTTATAAATTAGGATATGAGTACGATGGATGTTTCTGAAAAGAAATGAATGATTGTTAAACTCTATAAAATTTTGACCACAAAATTAAGGCTGAGCAGATGGGATCATTAAATTATTTTATAGACTAAGGAACCTACTGGGGTACTTGGATTGAATACCTTGGAATTGGATTGCTTGATTTGAAAGTTTTCACTAGCTAACTTTGTGCTATTAACATCACATTGTGTAACTTTTTGTATTCCTTTTCCTTAGGAGTCTCAACAGTCTAATTTTGGCCCTGGAGAGCAAAGTGAGTATTTCTCTCTTTTTGACTTTTAAATTAAACTGCTTCTAAGTATTAAATTCTTAGGGTCATATCAGATATTACTTTGATTACTTTTGGGAGGGGTATGCTATATTTCCATTTTTATGCCTGTGTGCCATATTGGTTATGTGTTTTGCTGTTAACCTCAGGGTCAGTCGTTTGCAACTCCCAGGTGCTCCTCAGGAGATAGATGAGGTGGCTTTTTACTGCTAGACAGTTACAACTGAGAAATCCACAGGGGCAGTTCTACCATGTCCTATAGGGTCACCATGACTTGAAATCAAATAAGTGGTATTGAGTTTGAGTTTTTGAATAATTTATGGTGGATTGAGCTGAATCTTTGTTTCTTTTTAATATATCAAGAATTATAGGACAATGGAGATCAAAATAAAGTGCTTTGTTAAGCATTTGGACTAATAGTTCTAAGCTATTCTATTTGATGAACATCTCAAAATCAGATGATTTGTGGGGTGACATCAAGAGCATACATGAAGAAACAGTATGAAGATAAGAAGGAAAGGAATGAACAAAGTGGATGTCAGAAGACACTCTAAAACTTGATTTGAATTTTGAGTAGCTTCACTCTGTTTTTTCCACCTTATGGAAAAGATGATGAGGTAAGAGAACTGAAAATTTCAAAAGGCCAACTAGAGAAGACACAGTGACGGATTATAATGAAATGTGCATAGTCCTGGAATGAGAAAATCTAAGGGGGAAGAACAGGTTCAGCATATCTCAAGATGAACTGAAGAAAAAATTTAAATCCCGGGTTGCTATAGCAAAGGATTCTACAGGCAAAATACTGAATGATGCAGGAAGCATTGAAAAAGATATAAGGAATACACAATCACTGTTCCAAAACAAATTGATCAGCAACCACCTATTTCAAAGGATATATTATATGATCAAGAACCAGTGGTTCTCCCTCAAGACCAGTGGTGAGAGTGGCAATATTGGGGGTGGGGTTGGAAGGAAAGTGAGGGAGAAAGGGGGGAACTGATTACAAGGTCTACATATAACCTCCTCCCTGGGGGACAGACAGCAGAGAAGTGGGTGAGGGAGACGTTGGATGGTGTAAGTTATGATAAAATAATAATAATTTATAAATTATCAAGGGTTCAGGAGGGAGGGAGGAGTGGAGAGGGAGGGGGAAAATGAGCTGATACCAAGGGCTCAAGTAGAAAGCAGGTGTTTTGAGAATGATGATGGCAGCATATGTACGAATGTGCTGGACACAATTGATGTGTGTATGGCTTGTGAAAAGAGTTGTATGAGCCCCTAATAAAATGAATAATAAAAAAGAATCAGTGGTTCTGAAGGAAGAAGTCTAAGCTGCACTGGAGGCATTTCTGAAAAACAGGTTCTGGGAATTGATGGAATGCCAGTTGAAAAGCTTTAACAAACTGATGCAGCTCTGTAAGCACACACTAGCCTATGCCAAGAAATTTGGGAGATTGACTGATAGAGATCTATATTTGTACCCATTACAAAGAAAGGTGACCCAACAGACTACAGAAATTTTTGAACTACATTAATTTAGTTGTGTTCTATTAATAGCATAGCACACAAGTAAAAGTGTGCTGAAGATAAATAAAAAATGGTTGAAGTGGTACATCAAAAGGGAGTTACTGGAAATTCCAGCTGGATTCAGAAGGGGGCATTGAAGGAGGATTATTATTGCTGATGTCAGATATTGGTTAAAACATGTTACTTATGTTTCATGGACTATGCAAAGATATTTGACTTTGGATCATACAAACAATGGATAACATTCCAACAAATGGGAATTCCAGAACACTTGCCATATGTACTCATGTATAAGCCGAGTTTTTCAGCACATTTTATAATGCAGTTTTTGTGGTAAATTTGTGCCTCAGCTGATATTCGGGTCGGCTTATCCTCGAGTAGATACGGTATGTGGTCATAAGTGTACCTGTATGTAGACCAAGAGGCTGTTGGAACAGAGCCAGGGAATCCTGCCTGGTTTAACGGGTATGTGTTGTCGTGGCGTCCTTTCGTCGTACTTCACCAGTCTGTATACTGAGTAGTTTCTCTGAGGAGCTGGACTATATGAAGAGGAGTGCAGCCGCACTAAGAACCTGCAGTGTGCAGGCAACACACCTTCTTGGTGAAAGTCAAAAACACGTGAAGCATTTATTGATGAAGATAAAAAACTACAACCTTCACTATGGATGAAAACTCAATATGAAGAAAATAAAAATCCTTACAACTGATCAGTGGACAACATCATGATACGTGAAGAAAAGGTTGAAGTTAAAGATTTCATTGTATTGGGATCTATAATCAAAGCTCATGGAAGTAGCAGTCAAGAAATCAAACAATTGGACAAATCTGTTGCACAAGACCCATTTAGAGTATTAATGAGCAAGGATACCACTTGATAGCTGTGGTGCATTTGATGTAAGCCATGGTATTTTCATTTGCTTCATATGCATGTGAAAACTGGACGAGGAATGAGGAAGACCAGAGAATTGGACTACTTGAATTATGCTTTTGGTGAAGAATATTGCAAGAACCATGGATGGCCAGAAAAGAAACAAATTTGTGTTGGAGGAAATACAGGCAGAATGCTCATTAGAAGCAAGGATGGTGCTACTTTATCTCAAGTACTTTGAGTCTGTTTTCAGGAGAGACCAGTCCCTGGTAAGGATATCATGCTTAGTACAGTAGAAGGTCAATCATTGAGAAAACGACCTTCAATGAGGTAGATTTGACACTGTGACTATAAAACAAACAATCTAAAGGACTAAACCTAACAAGGACTAAAACCGTAGAAGGATGATGCAGGACTGGGAAGTGGGTCACTACGAGTTGGAGCCAACTCAGTGGTACCTCATAGAAGCAACCTTTTTTTGTCTTTCCACGTTTTTCCTGAAGATGACTTGGATCTATAGAGGTAAAACTTCAGGCAAGAAGGGGTCATTGTAGTTTACCATATACTCCCTATTTGTTTTTCTGAGTCTTCGGGTTTGCTGTATACTACCCTTCACTCCTATTTTCTTGGCCTCTGAGAAGAATTTGAGTGGAAAGGCATATTAGGAAATTCAAATCTCGTCCCAAGAAATAGTGGCTGGGCAGGTTGATGGAAGTTAGAAACTGTTGCGCCTGTCTAGGTTTCTCCATGTAGCTCAGTAATGAAACAGGTGTTCCAAGAGCAATACCTTCTGACATGATTAAAGTGTATTTATACTGGTGGTAAGCTATGTCTGGAGATGGAAATATGGGACTTCATGATTCCTGGCTTATGATCTTTAGTAATCATTAAGCAAAGAGGTGAAACTAAAGGAGTATTTCTTTAGAAGTGAAACTAAAAGGTTATTTCTTATTTTTTTATGAACAGACTTTTCATAATTATATGTAGATTTCTTAGTTCTGCTTTAGAGAAAGGAACCTGAAGGTTGTTGACACGCATAAATGACTGGTGATAGGTCAGAAAGTTGACCATTTCACCTTTCATTAAGGAGAGTCTCACTTTACTTCTCTTCTAACCCCCATCGTCTCTCAACCCTACTGGCAAATAAGGCCTTAAGCTATTATTAACCTTGTGTTTTTCCGTTGATTTATATTAGTCTGTTTCTCTATTAAACAAAGCTGTACCTTCTTGTTTTTAATCTTAAAATTATATGGTGTGAAAACCAAACTTGATGGCTTTTGAGCCAACTCTAACTTATGGTCATCTCGTAGAAATTAATTCCATGGTGTTTTTTAGCTCTTTTTGTTTGGTAAGTTTTGTGGAAGCAGATTGCCAGAAGTTTATTTAACTGTTCTCCCATTGGTAGACATTTAAGTTGTTTTCCATTTTGGTGTTACACACCATGCTGAAAAAAAGCCCTCGTTTGTGTATACGTGTGACCATGTGTATTCCTCCCATTATACCAGAAAATTTTTGCCATTGGAATTATTTGATAGAGTGGATAAATGTATTTTAAGTGTCCATAACATAGATAATTAGCAGATTTCCCTCAAAGAAATTGTATGAGCTTATCCCCAAAGCAAATGTCCCTTTTCCTCCCTGCCTCTATGCTTACCTAGTATCTTATATTGTCTTAAGTGTCACTAGTTGGATGAAAAATTATGTATCGTTTTAATTTTTGTGGGTAGGTACTTGACAGTGTAAATTGACATACAATTTAAACGTTGCTTATTTCTGCATTCTTTTTGTTCTAGAAAGATATAATCCTTCTTCAAAGACTTCAAATGGACACCAGTCTAAATCGTAAGTGTATTTCTTAATAAGTTTAATGTTGGTGTGTTTTTCCGCAAGTCTTACCTATAGCATCTGGGTATTTTGAACAGCACGTAGAAATATGTGCTTAACGTTTTGAAGCAGAGCTAGGCAAACTTTTATGTACAGGACCACGTAGTAAATATGTTAGGATTTGTGGAGCTGTGTGTTTCTGTCTTAACAGCATTGCGCTGTCATTGCAGCATGAAAGGCAGCCAGAGCCCATGGATGTGGCTCAGTTCCCATCACAATCTTTCTTTATATAACAGGTAGTGGGCCTGATTGCCTCCTGGCTATTGGCTGCCTTTTCTAGGGTCATAATGTTTCTCTTCTCTCAGTTACCTGCATCTGTGTGTTTGTAGTGCCCTTCATAAAGAAGGCAGGGTTCTTCCTCAGAGTTAGGTAAGCCCTTCACTTAACCACTAAATGTGGAATATTAGGCAACATGTTTGTCCTGTTTTGATGCACTAAGCAACATAGTTCATACTGCCTTTGTGAATGAGGGTTAATTACAGAGTTTGCTATTAGGGCTCCAGTTCTGTGTTCAGTGGATGGCTGCAGGAAGTTTTCTTTCTTATTAATACACTTGTCTTAGTCTCCTTAGGGTGCTTGAGAAAAATTTTTTTCTCCCCCAGTCGAAACACTGCCTTGCAATAGGATCTGCAGGGCCAATTATATGTATGGCAGAGAGGTCAGATCTGCAGGTTATGATGGCTATTTGTGGGCTTTCCAAAGGGTCATTTTAATAGATCTTATCAAATGACACCAGATGATTATGGGGCTTATTAAGAAGCAGTTGTAAGAAAGCAGAAAACTGCATTGGTGATAAAAAGGCCAGAACAGTTGGGTGGAAGCTTTTTTTATTATGTCAGTGTGCTTGCTCATTCTTGGAGGGTAACACGGGTTGCCCTTCAAGAATTTCATTGGGAAACCTTGCCCACCCCCCTACAAACCCTCAGCTGTTTTATTCCCCAAACTCACTGCTCAGTGGAACATCATTTGAGTACCACAAGGGTACCTAAACTACAATTTATGTGTGTTGTAAATCGAAAAGTGCAGAACTTTGAGAGCTAGAAACAGCCTGGAGAAGTGTGTAGACCTAGATGGAGGATATGTTGAGAAACAAGAGCTTCATCAATTTGCTATTTTTGTTTAATGTAGTTTTCTGTGATTTTATAACATTATTTTTTGACTTGGCCTCCTATGAAATAACACAATTTGTTTTGTCTTTATGTTTCCCTATTTTGATTTTGTAGACAGGACCAGGAATATAAACAGATAATGTAACATGGTAATATATTGGATTATAATAAATTCCAGCTATAAGCAGATTCTTGCAGCCACACATTAACTGTGGTCACAGCACTAGCTCTCTTGACATAGCTACAAACTATGCTGGTAACCTCGGCCTAACCTTCAGTTGAGCATAGAACTGAGAATGAAAATAGGAATATAAGAAGCCCTCTCACTGCTGACGAATTTAAATTCTATTTCTATTCATTGTGTTATTTACTGAAATGCAGAGAATTGATGCATCCTACCACATTTGTGCCTATTATCACTTTAGTTGTTGAGGAAACAAAAACAGCCAGGTCCTTGAGCAATCTGCTGAAAGCTTTGACATATTCACTTGTGTAACCTGGTTCATTGAGCTGCTATTATTAAATCATTTAAGGGCTGAGAGAATTCAGAGTAAGGAAATCAGTCAGAGAAATGCACCGGATCCTTGACCAAAAGTAAAGTCTTGTCGTTGACCCATTTAATTGGACCAATCTTGTGAGATTTTCATAGTTTTATAGTCTTAGGTTATTTTAAAGTGGTCTTTTGAGCCATATGCTGGACTTAATTTGGTTCAACTGTACAAACTCAGGTTAAGCATTAAGGAGGGAATTTAAGTAGTTATTGGAGTGAGACAATAATATTTCCTTCCAATTGACTGGCTTGAACTCTTGAGAAGAAAAGTAATGAAACTACTGGTAATAAAATTAAAACTTATTTTAATTGCACCTTCCCCTAAGTTTTGTAATAATTTTTCATTTCCTATAAAAAGGCAAAAATCTTCTGGTTCATTACACAGATATTAATTTTAAGGCTTTTGATTTTTGTGGCCCCAGGGAAAAATTAAGTATTTAATTTTACTTTCAAAAACAAATTCTAGAAACTATCAGCTTATATGTAATATTTGTATGTGTGTATGCTTTTAATTGGTTGGGATTTGGATGTAAAATATTGAGAGCCTGAAATGTTTTGTTTCTTTTTTATTCATAGATGATTATTTTTGTTATATAGTCAAGTTTTTTACCCAAAAGTAGTACATCTAAAAAGAACACTTGTCTTTTACATTCCTTTTTTTTTAACCACTCGGTTGCCACTAGCTGTAAAATCTTTCTTCCTGTAATATTGGAGACAAAAAAAGAGACTTGCCTAACACGGGAGTTTTAGCGTCCTCCTTTCTAAGTCATGGCTTCTTTCTAGTCGACTGTTGAGTGTGACGAGGGTGCACTGTTTTGATTATAAAGGGAGAATGAATGCAATGGAATTAAGAAAACCGTAGAGATAATGGAGGCGAATAAAGGTTTATAAAAAGGTAGTTGTTTGTTTTTTTTTTCAATTTGAAAAGAAACATGAACATTTTATGGAAAGGCTGCAACTTGTGAAATGGATAAATTCCTCCTTTTTTCTGTTCTGGATGGATATAAACCAAACCCAACAGAGTAAGACTTAACTATTTTTATTTTGTTTTGTTTACAGTTAAATTTTTGGCTACCACAGTGATTGATTCTGGAATATTGGTAGAGATTTTAGTACTCTGGTATGCCATAATAAGTAGTCCCCAAAATAATAATCCTTTCTACCTTTTCCCTCTAGTATGTTAAAAGATGACTTAAAACTAAGCAGCAGTGAAGACAGTGATGGGGAACAGGTGTGTGTACTACTATATGATTTTGCCAGTCTCATACAGTATTTGTTCTCATTGTATTTTATAAGAATATATGGTTAAAAATACTCATGATCTAGTTATTTTAATGAAATTCCTTCTTATATGCTTCCCGATACTGTAATGTGATTTTCTGCCCCACCCCCCCACCCCCCCTAAATCTTCATCTTTTCTTATCATTCAAAAAACATTGGCATTTCTTTAATACTGTCATGGATTGGAATGTATTCATAAAGCATGCCATTGTTGACGAGAAGGACTGCTGACACAACGTTTGACCCTGTCCTGACAGTTGAGGTTTTTAGGGAAAAGCAGTGTGTCATAATTGTCAATTAAATACTCACGCACACGTTAGAGAAGCCAGTCTTTCTATTCTGATTTCAGCTGTTTCTCACAGTAAGCAGATAGAGTGCTATTTATTCACCTGCAGACTTCCTTCTCCTGCTTTAATTTCAGGATTGTGATAAGACCATGCCAAGGAGCACACCAGGAAGGTAGGCTTCCTTTTATTTGTTTGTTTTTAGAGAGAGAGGGCCACTCCATGAACATTGTAGCGATGCGATATGTAGTCTTCTAAATGATAAAATTGATTGTGATGATGCTTCCATTACTTTGTAAGTTGCCTAAAAGTATCATTTAGTTATGCATTTTTAGTGGTTGAGATTTGTGGTAGGTAATTTATAATACAGTCAAAAGGTTTTTAAAGGAATGATAGCTACAAGCCCCGCTGGCACATTAAGAGCTCGGATGGGAAGTGGTTGGAGGTTGACTCCAATGGGGAAAAGCCCCGGCAGTTTTCTCTCAGAGAGCCTTCCTCCTAGGACGCCCAGTGGGGAGCTCTGCTGTGTCCTGCAGCTCCTGTGAGCTGGAATGGATGCAGTGGCACACTGCAGGCAACAGCTTCAGAGCTGAGCAGCACATTGGAAACTTTCATAGGAAGCATTTATTTCAAAAGCTCGAGATTTCTAGAATGGTAACAACAGTAAATACTGTATTTACTTTAAACAAACAGTAAATACTGAGAGTTGGTTGTTAATTTGGGTACTTTCCTATTGTTACTGTGAAAGCAACAAATTAACCCTGTTCGGTCATTCTTATGTTTTCTCTTTTTCAGTAATTCTGAGCCTTCACACCATAACAGTGAAGGAGCAGATAACTCCAGAGATGATTCTAGCAGCCATAGTGGATCTGAAAGCAGCTCTGGATCTGACTCAGAGAGCGAAAGTAGTTCCAGTGACAGTGAGGCCAATGAGCCATCCCAGAGTGCATCTCCTGAGGTGAGAGGGAGGCAGAGGGCCCTTCCTCACCAGGTCTCTGGAAGCAGCATCAAGTTAAAGAGCTGGCTCAAGTGTAAAAGATGAAGGGGAAAGGTTATGTATTCTGAAACAAAGAAATGGAGCCCTGTGTCTCACAGAGGAGGCCCAGATACTTGTTTCCCTGTTACTTGAGCAAACATTTTGTCTAGATGAGGACTTGCTTGAGGTCATATTGCAAGTCACTGAACTATTGGATTTCTTACGTTTGAGCTTTACTTTTCTCATCTCAGCATGGTAAATTCAGGGTTTTCTGTTGGTGTGGATAAAAAAGAACTCTTAGGTAGTTTTACTATAAAACGTGAGAAAATATATAGCGTAAGAAAAATGTTGAAAGTCTTTGTTCCCTACATCATTTCTTTATTTTCAGAGGTTAACAGTCATTTGTAATAATGCCTCTTGAAGTTGAATTCCTTACAGGAGTATTTGGTATTTTTAAAGGCATATATAACAATAGTTTCTTTTTTCATTCAAATGATTAGAGCAAATAGTATTTAGCCCTTTGCTTTGGACCCATCGGAACCATTTACTGCTTCCTGATAGCTAATGTTTTTGTGATATTTTAGGCATTTTATGTACAGAACAGGAAGAAAGCTTCAGTATCAATAAAAGCAGTAATTATTTCTGTTTTCAGCCTGAACCACCACCAACAAACAAATGGCAGCTTGATAACTGGTTGAATAAAGTGAACCCCCACAAAGTGTCTCCAGCGTCTTCTGTGGATAGCAACATCCCGTCATCTCAAGGCTATAAAAAGGAAGGCCGGGAACAGAGTGCTGGGAACAGCTACCCTGACACAGGGGGACCGAAAGAAACGAGTTCTGCCACTCCAGGACGAGACTCCAAAACGACCCAAAAGGGATCAGAAAGTGGACGAGGGAGACAGAAGTCTCCTGCCCAGAGTGACAGCACAACCCAGAGGCGAACTGTAGGCAAAAAACAACCCAAAAAGGCGGAGAAGGCAGCTGCAGAAGAGCCCCGAGGAGGCCTGAAGATCGAAAGTGAAACTCCAGTAGACATGGCCACCAGTATGCCCTCCAGCAGACACAAGGCAGCCACCAAAGGCTCGAGGAAGCCCAACATAAAGAAGGAGTCCAAATCTTCCCCTCGACCGACAGCAGAGAAGAAGAAATACAAGTCAACAAGCAAATCTTCCCAGAAATCGAGGGAAATCATAGAAACCGATACCTCGTCCTCAGATTCGGATGAAAGCGAGAGCCTTCCTCCCTCCTCACAAACGCCTAAGTACCCCGAGAGCAGCAGGACTCCTGTGAAGCCCTCCTCCGTGGAGGAGGAGGACAGCTTTTTCCGGCAGCGGATGTTCTCTCCTATGGAAGAGAAGGAACTCCTGTCACCCCTCAGTGAGCCTGATGACAGGTATCCACTGATTGTGAAGATCGACCTGAATCTCTTGACCAGAATACCAGGAAAGCCTTACAAAGAAACCGAGCCACCCAAGGGGGAAAAGAAAAGTGTGCCGGAAAAGCACACGAGAGAGACTCAGAAACAACCCTCAGAGAAGGGTTCCAACAAAGGCAAGAGGAAACATAAGGTTTGTTAAGGGTTTTTATTATTTCATTCTGAGCCTCTGAATCCAAAACACTGTAAAAATATCAGTAAACCTCCCAATTGGTTCATGAGCTGTAAGGAGCCAAAGAGAGTGAGTCAGAGCCGCATTGAAGCCAGAGCTGGAGCAGCTCCTGGAGGGGGACTGCACCCCTGCCACCTCTAGATCACGTGATCACTTCTCATCATACCACTGTGTGCTGGTCAGTGTGTTGGTGAGAAGAGAGCCTGCAAATTTGTCTGCGACCTTTCATCAGATGTTGGTTTTAAGTTCTTTAGTTGGGAGGGACACTCATCAAGGTGTTACAATCCCTTCCACTGTCCTAATGTCTTACCCCAAACCAATTCACGCGTTTTAGATTACTGCCCAGTCTGTATTCTGGCTAACAAGTGAACCCATTGCTTTTGACACGTTCATAAGAACTTCACCAGTTCACTGCACTTAGCTAGATCTCATCTTTAAATACTGCAAGATAATTTGGATTTAGAGACAAAACTAGTATGTGTTTAAGACAAAGTTTAACAAATACATACGTTTTTTTGTGATTTGAGTGAATGTTTACATACAAAGCAAATTGACATTCCATTCAACAACTCATACACATGACATGGATGGGAACGCCACAATGTAACAGCACTCTCCCCACTTTCTCTCCATGTTTGCCATTTCCTTTCATTTGTCTCTCTGATCCCTGTGCCTTCATAGGTTTATCCCTGGGCAGAAGCTGCCCTGTTCCTCTCATGTGGTTGACTGTTACTGCTTACTGTGTCGGCCTGAAAGTTAAGCCACCATGAGTTCAGCTCCAGATTTGAAGGGTGTCTGAGGGTTATAGTCTCAGGGATTCTACCAGTCTCAAGCAGACCAATAATCCTAGTCTTTTGTATTATTTTGAGTTTTGTTTTACAATCCCTCCACCCCCCCATTTATTCAGGACCTCCTCTTTTGACCCCTTTCTGAGCAGTAAGCAAAATAGGTAGGTAGGCACCACCTAGTTCTTCTGGTCCTTTGGACTAATTGTGTCTCTCAGGTTTTTTAACTCGTCTTTGCTTCCAGATTGCAAGAAACAATAGTTGTACTCCTCACCTAACTCGAATGTAAAACATTGTCTTTGAGGATTATACTGTGCCAGTGGATCAGGATGTCCCTTGATACTGTGCTCCTGAGCCACTGGACCCAAATACCACATTCCTGCAAGGTGTGTTTGTTTGGTATGGCTAAGAACTTTTCATAACTTTGCCCCGTATGTCCACTTATATTAGTGGATATACTTGTAACATATATGAGACGTATATAAAAATGTCATATATTTCTAGGCCTTGGAAATGGAAAAATTTTGAATATATGATTGGAGAATGGTGTTCCTATAATGAAAATAGCTGAACAACTAGATATAAAGGGGGAACTAACTGATTATAAGGATCTACATATAACCCCCTCCTTGGGGACGGACAACAGAAAAGTGGGTGGAGGGAGACATCGGACAGTGTAAGACACGACAAAGTAATAATAATTTATAAATTATCAAGGGTTAGTGAGGGAGGGGTAGCGGGGAGGGGGAGGGGAAAATGAGCTGATACCAAGGGCTCAAGTAGAAAGCAAATGTTTTGAGAATGATGAGGGCAACAAATGTACAAATGTGCTTGGCACCATGGATGGATTATGTGTGGATTGTGGGTTGTACAAACCCCCAATAAAATGATTTTTTTTTAAAAAAGCTATGTTGAGGAACTTTTGAGGAAAGCTGAGTTTAATATTCTGTGTTGAAGAATACACATTGCCAGATTTAAGATGTAATCATGCCCTCCGTTTTGGTGGGATAAGGATAAGCGTGTTGTTATTGCCAGATACTTGTGGGTACGACTGTAAAAGAAAAAGTGGTTCAGTTTGAGGCAAATGAACAGCTAGGTATTCGAGTGGCCTTGCCCGAGGAACACGGCCCCGTTGGCCTGAGAATCACATGCACGAAAATCAAGTTAGAGCATTTTCTTAAAAGAGGTGAGCCAGGGATTTTATCCCTCTCCTTTTCCTAAAACTACAGCACAACGAGTCTCCAAAAAGTTACTGGGAAAATGGAATTAAGAGATAATAGAATTTTTCCATGTACTTTTCAAAGCCACCTTGAGTTTTGTGCAGGTATACATATTCAGAAAAACCAGGGTAATAATTTCTAGGAAACAAGCCTATTCCTTCCCATAATATAGCTTGCAAATTTCCATTATTGTAGAAGGGATACCTCTCTTACCTAGTAAGTCCCTACCTCTACAGCCCATGGCCTCAGATTGCTAGACTTGGTTATAAAGTTCTTTATAAAATAGCATAAAGGGCAGCTTGCATATAAGTGCCTCTGTTGTGTAGAAAAATAGGGTGTTTCCTCTGGGACTTACAAAAATTTCCGTTTTGTTTTAACAAGAGTGTTTGTTACATGTTCTTAAAAGATATTCAGGGGGCCAGTGGTGGTCCCATGGTACAATTCTTGCCTACCAGCATGGTTCATTTTCCAGCCACCACTCATCTGTCAGTGAAGCTTACATGGTCTGTCATACTAAGAATAGGAAGAAAGGCCTGGTAGTCCACTCTGAAAATCAGCCAGTGAAACCCTCCCCAACAGTAATCTGGTTCACCATGGATCACAGAGACACCCAGGATCAGGCAGTGTTTCGTGAGTCAGGGGCCTGCTAACAGCAATATCAAACTCGATAGTCCAACATTTGTGAAGTCCTTTGAAAGGATGAGTTTTAAATTGGTTAGTAAATTACTAATTTTTAACCTGCTTGTGAATTATGTCTCAAAATAGAGTGAACAACACCCCCCAACATTTTATCATCTTAAAATGTTGTATCTAAAGGACATAGGAAATTGGTTTCTGTGTTAAAGGCTTCTCAGTCTCAGCATTTGGTTTTGATGTCAGAGTCTTGCTGATGTTCAGCAAGGACACGCTGAGAAGACTGCCGCTGCAGGAAGGGGTTTGGGTGAGTAAAGGTCGGATCTAGTAGCTGCTGTGTTCTTTGGCCTAGAATGAAGAGGACAACCGAGCCAGTGAGAGCAAGAAACCCAAAACGGAAGATAAGAATTCCGCAGGCCACAAGCCTTCCGGCAACAGAGAGTATGTCCCAAGCCTGATGCATGTCCGAGCTGTTCATATATGCACATTATTTGCTCTTAGTAACATGCTCTGTGGGTATTCCTTTAAGTAAGCACATACTTGTGCAGACACATGAGTGCACACCCTCATCACGGTAGCTTCTGCTACTGCTCATGGGACTGGAAAGGATTTAAGATGTAATCATGCCCTCCGTTTTGGTGGGATAAGGATAAGCGTGTTGTTAGAAGAGTGCACATGACTTTCTGGGTAGATGGCAAGCTTATTTGTAACCAGCAAGAGTCTTCTAGTTGCTAACTTGGAGCATGAATCGGTTTCTTCACCATGTATATATTTGTTCATTGAACACGTATTTACTGAGTACTTACTGTGTGGTCGGGCCTGTGTTAGGCCCTGGCTATAAAGCCATGGGCATGGGGGAGGGAGACAGAGACGATGCCTACCTTCATGGAAGGTAGAGTCATATCCTTTTTTACAGACCTATGTGCTAGTAATGACCTGGGACACAAAGGAAAACCTCACCCCCCTGTGTATTCCTGTGTGGAGAATAAGAGATGTGTTTGGTTTGACAGGTCATCCAAACAGAGTGCTGCAAAAGAAAAGGATTTGTTGCCTTCTCCTGCCGGGCCTGTTCCTTCAAAAGATCCAAAAACAGAGCATGGCTCTCGGAAGAGGACTATTAGTCAGTCTTCCTCCCTAAAGTCTAGCAGTAATAGCAACAAGGAGAACAGCAGCAGCAGCAGCAAAAGTGGCTCCTCCACATCCAAGCAGAAGAAGACTGACGGGAAGACCTCCAGTAGCTCCAAGGAGACCAAGGTAATGAATGGGGAGATAGCCTGAGCCTTTTGAGCCGGCCTCTGATTGCCCTGGGGCTGCTCCATGCCTTGAAGTTTTTTGCAGATACTGCACACTCTCTCTAGGCTTGTGCATTTCATTCTCAAAACTCCACCCTTTTGAGGGTAAATACATGCAGGGATCTGAGACCAGCAGTAAGTCAGCTGACCGTACACACAGTAATTAGCATACCCACCCAAACCCTCTGCTGTGAAGTGGCTTTTTCCATCTCCTGAGTTCTTCACCCCTAGAGGACAGAGTAGAACTAACCGCTCCTTTGGGTTTCTGAGACTGAATGTACGGAAGCAGACCGCCTCGTCTTTCTCCCTTGGACTGGGCTGCTGGGTTTGAGCCGCCAGTTTTAGCTACCCAATGCTTACCTCACTGCACCACCTGGGCGTGTTGGCAGTGGGAACTTGATTTCATTTGAAAAGGCTTCATCTGCTAAGATTGTATTCTTGCCTGTGATTTGAAACTGGCTTTGAATGTTTTAGAATTAGATTTTACAAGCAAGTCCTTTTACATAAATAGAGCAAGCAACCATGTGGCTTTAATTCATCTAATAGGAAAAAAAGTGGAGTCGACCTACCAGTGGGAGTGTTCTCGTTGCACTGCTGACAGTGTATGGGGTAGCCTTCGTCTTTGTGGGCGAGGAATTGGGTGCGAAAAGGGTTTTAAAGACTGTACTGTACAGGGTGCGATGTAACAATGATGAGAAATACAATCTTCCTCTAGTTCCTAAAGGTTTCCTCCCTGCTCCCACTACCATGACTCGAATTCTATCTTGCAAGACTGGCTAGACCAGAGGAGGTACACTGGTACAGATAGGAACTGAAAATACAGGGAATCCAGGATGGATGAGCCCTATAGGACCAGTGGTGTGAGTGGCAAAACAGGGAGGGTAAAGGGAGAATGGGTAGGAAAGAGGGAACCGATTACATGGAACTGTGTGTGACCTCCTCCCTGGGGGACAGACAACCGAAAAGTGGATGAAGGGAGACGTCGGACAGGGCAAGATATGACAAAATACCCATTTATAAACTATCAAGGGCTCATGCGGGAGGGGGGAGCAGAAAAATGAGGACCTGATGTCGGGGGTTTAAATGGAGAGAAAATGTTTTGAGAAACGATGTACAAATGCGCTCTACACAATTGATGTGTGTATGGATTGGGATAACAGTTGTATGAGCCCCTAATAAAATGTTAAAAAAGAAAAAAAAATTAAAAGATTAAATTGAAAAAAAAAAAAAAAAAGACTACTGTAGTAAACTCTGGCCCTCAGTTTGTTTACCAGGTTATTTGAATCACTTTCAAAAATGGCTCTCCGGGGGGAATACTCCCCGAAATCAGAGTACACAAGACAAAATTGAGAAAATACCTCAATTTTGAGCACTATAATTCAATGAATTATAATTTGTGACTTAAGTAAGCGAAGGCTTAAAGAGTTGAAAAGGTAGACTATTGTAAGCCATTCGTCATGCTTCTGAAATGTGGTCATTAAATGTTGTTTTTTTTAATACTTTTATTGGGGGCTCTTACAGCTCATATCACAATCCATACTTTCCTCTAATGTGTCAAGCACCTTTGCACATATGCTGCCATCATCATTTTCAAAGCATTCTCTTCCCACTTGAGCCCCTAATAACAGCTCCCCATTTCTTCCCCCTCCCGCCCCCGCTTGCCCTCCCTCAGGAACCCTTGATAAGTCATAGTCGCCCCTCACCACTTTTCCATTGTTCGTCCCCCTGGGAGAGAGTCCCAGATTGATCCTTGGGATCAAATTCCACATTTCTCCCTCCACCCTCCCCTAATCCTCCTGGTATCTCTACTCTCCTTGTTGGCCCTGAGACATTTACCTATCCTGGATTCCCTATGTTGCAGGCTCTTATCTGTAGCAGTGTGCATGCTCTGGTCTAATCAGATTTGTAAGGTAGAATTGAGGTCATGATAGTGGGGTGAAGGAAGCACCAAAGAACTAGAGGAAAGTTGTGTGTTTCATTGGTGCTATACTGCACCCTGACTGGCTCATCTCTTCCCTGTGACCCCTCTGTGAAGGGATGTCCAGTTGTCTACACATGGGCATTGGGTCTCCACTCTTATGTCCCCCCCACCCCCAATTCACCTTGGGTATGGTTTTATTCTGGGTCTTAGATGCCTGGTACCTGTTCCCATTGAGACCTCGTAATCCCACAGGCTGGTGTGCTTCTTCCATGTGGACTCTGTTGCTTCTGAGATAGATGGCCACTTGTTTATTTTCAAACCTTTTAAGATCCCAGACACTATATCTTTTGATAGCCAGGTACAATCAGCTTTCTTAACCACACTTGCCCATGCACCCATTTTGTTTTCAGTCATCGTGTAGGGAAGGTAAGCATCACAGAATGCCAGATTGTTAGAACTAAGTGTTCTTGTGTTAAGGGAGTACTTGAGTTGAGGCCCAATGTCCATCTGCAACCTTAATTCTTAACATAAAGATATGAGTACATAGTTCTATTCCCCTCTCATTTTATAGATACACACACACACACACACACACACACACACACACACACTCATATGGAAAAGCCTATAAATAGTTTAAGGTCTGTCATTAAATGTTTTACACTGAGGTAATTTGTGTTCTGAGCAGTTTCTCAAACTGAGATACACAAAAGGCTTTTTCTCTAGTTGAACACTCTTTTCTAGTGACCCAGAGAGCTAGCTCCTTGTCCTGAGGAGCCTCACTGCTCTGTTGGCCTCCTTTGCTGCCCCAGTTCTCCCCTAGTCTGCTGGCTGGCTACCCCTCCCTTTCTCACCTTGTCACTGTAGAATTTGAGGAACCCAGGTTTGTTTCTGAAGCCTTCTTTTTAAAAACAAAGTACGTGAGCTCATCCACTCAATTGGCTGCTACTCCCTTACAGGTAAAACCACCCTTCTCTTGTTTGCATGTCTCTCAACTTCTTGAAGACAAAGAATTGTGTCTTATTTTGTGTTTTATCCAGTGCTGAGCTCACTTGGTAATCAGGAAATGCTTTTCAGATAGAATGTAATCATGTGATGCTCTGTAATTAGCAAACTGTGAACTAGGCTTGGCCACCTTGATTTCAAGCACATACAGCACTTAACAGTTGTGCAAGTTCATCTTGGTGGTTTTTACCTTAGGTCATCACATAGGCGTTTATTAAATACATTCTGTAACTTAGCTAGAAAATAGGCTAGTTTTTCAATTCCAGGCACCACAAAGAAGAAAGAGAAAAGTCTGGAGCGGGAAACTCACAGAGAATTTGGCTACTGTGAGAGCTGGACCTTGTTGGGCCTGTAGGTTTTCCCAGACGGCAAGCTTGCCACCTTTGCAGCCTTACTCCTTTTCTACCATTTGTGTTAGTGGGAAATAGTTCTGACTGCTGTGTGCCTTAAACAGGTTCCAGCTCATGAAGGATTTGCTGTATATAAGAAAAGAATATGGTTATATATATATATATATATATATATATACACACACATATATACACACACACACACACACATATATGCATATATATAGTAATATTTAGAAAATCCTTTTTCTTAATTGCAGAAAACTTCAGTTTCCCTCAAACAAATATAGGCACATATTAGTCTGTTTATAGAGCCTAGGCAAAACCTGTCCTAGTAGTGTGATACCACATAGTAATTTTCCGAAAATCATTTTATAAACCCACAAACTTTACCATAAAGAGCCTAGTGTTTTCTCAAACCTCAGTATTGGTTTTTGTGCCTTGAGTAGTAAGCTGGGATGGATGGAACTGAAAGGCTTAATGTTCAGGAAAAGTTGGGGGTGGGGGAGTTATGGTTCTTTTTAGAACTAGATTTAAGTAAAAGTGGTAGAATCATATTGTACATTGATAGATTTTTAAAATGTCAGCATAATGTGGCATTTGTGGGAAAAGTTGAGTTGTTAAGCTGTTTTGCTTCGTGGATATATACAGATTCCTAAAGATTGGGTTGAATGAGGAGGCTATTGGGAAAACGGAATAAAATTGAAGAAAGAGTCTGAGTGTTGAAGTTAGACAGATCTGGGTTTAAAACCTACACCCCAGAAATGCCACTTCAAAGCTATTTGAACTTGGCCAAGTTACACAGCCTTCTGGAAACGGCATTTTATTCTCTAGTCCCTATTTCATAAAGTTGTTGGGTGGGTCACTGTGCTGAAGTATGCAGTTAACTTCGTGCCTGGCTAGTGCTAAGCCCACAGTAAACAGGCATGGCCACTGTTACTTTGCAATGACCAGTAACTGTCAATAAATTTTACTTTAAGTAATGGGACCATTTTGATATTTGATGATGTGTACACCTTATATTTCTACACATGAAAAACTCAAAATTAATACTCGGATGACTATTTTGGGTTATTTAATGAACCTTGTCTGTAAAAAGGATGTTTATGTTCTGAAGTTTAAAGCTTGATAATAAGGGTATGAATTGGCAAAGGCAGTGGAATCTCATTTGCTTTTTCACAGTGACTTTTTGTTTAATGTTTCATATCCTCACAGTTTTTTAACATGTTTACGTTATGTTTTGGTCAGGATAAGGCTCCAAACAGTTCTTCTAACTGTCCTCCATCTACACCAACTCCAGATACTTCTAAGCCTCGGAGAACAAAGCTTGCCTTTGACGACAGGTGAGAGAAACAGGATTTTGTTTTTCTGCTCATAGGTTTAAGAAATTATGCTAGTCAGCACTTAGGCAACACATTTTAATTCTATCAGAGACTAGGAGCAGTGATAGCTATAATGATGTATTGTACTCGACTGAGTAGTCAAGTTTTAATTAGAAAGGCTTCCACTTGCCAAAGCAGTGCTTTAACTAACTCCATGGCTCTCATGGGGGTTGGAAATGTTAGGCCGTCTGTAGAGTCTTACTCTGCTGGTATCGGCATTGAAAACAAGGCACTTTCATTGATGAGAAAGAATAACGTGTGTGGGACACATGTGTGCACATACTTGAAATCATGGTAACGGGTCATTTTGCCAACCCATGTTTTATTCATGTTAACTTTTGAAACAACTTGGGTCAACTAGCATTAAATACTAGGGAGCCTGATTTCTGATTTCCTGAGTAGAAGATGTCCCATGCGTTGATCAAGATAATTTGGACTTTTAATCTGATTTATACACTTGTCAGAAAAAAGCTGAAGCAGGTTTTGTAATAGCTTGCTTGCTTTATTTGAGGCCGTAACAGTTGAGGAATACTAGACGCTAGGATGAACTAGTATTATGAAAATTTTCACCAACTTGTTTTCAATAAAAATTTACATTGCAGAAGCTACTCAGCCGACCATTATTTACAAGAAGCAAAAAAGCTAAAGCACAATGCAGACGCATTGGTATGTAAACATTCTCCTCGTGTCTATGTATTGAGTCAAGGCACCTGTAGTCCTTACTTTTCTTGCGGACCTACAGTTGATGCATGTAGCTCTCCCTTCACTCGCCTGTCTTTAGTCCGACAGGTTTGAGAAAGCAGTGTACTATCTCGATGCGGTGGTGTCTTTCATTGAATGTGGGAATGCGCTAGAGAAAAATGCTCAGGAATCCAAGTCCCCATTCCCTATGTATTCGGAGACAGCAGAGCTCATCAAGTAAGTGAATCACTGCACATCATTGGTGTAGCATTACGTCTCTGGAAGGGGTTTGGATTGACTATAAATACAGTGACGTTAAAGAAAATACTTCATCCTTTGTTATCCCTGGGTAAGGAAAGCAGAACCAGATATTCCAGTAGAAAAAGTTGCCTTTATGCAGGGTTGATTCTAATTATTGAGGACGAGACATGAAAAGATCAAGATGAAGTATTCAATTTGTTACTTTAACTCACAGATACACTATGAAGCTAAAGAATTACTTGGCGCCAGATGCTACAGCTGCAGATAAAAGACTCACAGTACTTTGGTAAGTGTGCTTCTCTTGTAGCCGCTTGTGGATGATGCGCAGTTTCATACTGCATTCTGCTGTGTATTTCCTTCTGACATTTAACCGTGAGTCAACCTTATAAGGCCATCATAAATCTGTTCTTGACGGGTAAAGCAGGAAATGACAAAGAGTTCCTACTGGCAGATTCATTGTCCCTTGAGGAAAGCTCTGGTAAGGTATAGAGCTGGTATTATCACCCAGCACTGTCTGCTGGACTTTTCTTTTGGTGCCGTCTCCTGTGTGCATATATAATGGACCCTTAAGCAACCTGGATCTGAACTGCCAGGGTCCAGTTATGCCTACATTCCTTCCCTGCAGCTATTGTGAGGAGTGCAAATACCCTCTTAACATGCTGTGAGCCTAATCATCCCCACGATTCTCTTCACATGAGCATGCTTCTCTCCACGAGAACTCCTGTGGTGATAATGAGGGTGAGCGCCACACGGTTTGGCGCAGATACTTGCACCACCACTCAGCTCATTGCGCAGGTCGTGTGGTTCACACCTGTACTGTTCCAGGGTCAGTTGTACCTGGTGATGCAGGACGGAGGAGTCTTCAAGAAGTGTGTGGAAAAACGTAATGAAAAGACAGTATAATTCTTCCACACTTTTTGGATCCCCTTTGTAAATTAATATGTGGAGTTTTGACAGTATAGGAGGTCAGCACCTCCAACTTCATGTTTTTTCAAGGTCAGCACTATACATTTCCATAGGAAGCAGCAGATATAGAAGCCCATTTGAAAACAATATGTTCTGGCTGACCTGAAGTTTGACACTTGTTATCTTATCCTTGGTATGGTAGATGTAGCAGCAGACAGCTCCAGCAAGCCTCTGGTTGACTCAGGATAAAGAGAGTGACTTGTTGGTTCTCTCCGTGGGATATACCATCAGTTCACTTGTTGGTTCTCTCCGTGGAATATACCATCAGTTCACTTGTTGGTTCTCTCCGTGGGATATGCCATCAGTTCACTTGTTTTAGATCTGATTTGTAGCCAGATCTTAAGCTTTAGTACTGGGAAGGCAGCTGTAGATGAAACCAACATGATCCTTGTGTTAGTCCGGGTTGACCAGAGAAACACATTATACACTCCTGTGTATAAGAAAGAGCTTTATATAAAAGAGCAGTTGTATATTGAAAAACATCCCAGTCCAGTCTAGATCAAGTCCATAAGTTTGATATTAGCCCATATGTCCGGTACTAGTCTGTAAATTCCTCTTGATGCTGAATGCAGGAAGATCATAGGCCAGTAGGTAGAAGGTCTTGTGGATCCAGTGGCAGCGGAAGCACCTCAACACTGGTGCTGGTCTCCATATGGCTCCTCCAGCTCCAGGGCTCTAGCTCCATCAGTGTGTCTCCATGTGGCTTGTCAACAGGAATGTGTAGCAGAGAGACGGTTTCCCACTTCTCAGCAGGAGACAGGAGCTCCCAGAATCCTTAGAGAAGGCCATGGCCACACAGAGGCCTCATTGGCTATGACCTGATTGACAGGCTAGACTCCACCCCTTCACCTAAGTTGACAGATTATGTAACTGCCACAATCCTCTTCCATGAAGTATTTATAGTCTAGTGTGAGGAATAAGCCGTTAATCAGATTTCTATACAATATTACAAATTAAGTGAGTTGGAAGAAAATATATCTAACAGAGAGCATAGGCTGATACATGAGAGAGCTTCAAAAAGGCATGGGAGCCTGGAATGAATAAATAATGGAATCTTCCTGAGCACTTGTGGCCACGTCAATACTCTAGGTAGAAGGAAAAAAGGTAGGAGGACCAGATGGAAAGGAATACAATTTTAAACAGAGAAGAGGGGCCAGTACGGGGTGAAAGTGACTGGAGGTGGGGGAGGGGTGGGCGTGATGTGTGGCTGTTGTAAGCTGCATGAAGGCTTATTTTTCGAGTTGTACTGCTCAACCGTAACGGGTTTACTAGACTTTTGGTTTGTTTTACATTTTTGCATGACTTAGAGTTTAATAAAGGAGACCGGATGGACACTCAGCTACTAATTGCAAGATTGGTGGTGTAAACCCACCAGACTCTCGACAGGATAAAGATCTGGCAGTCAGCCCCCACGAAGATGGCAGCCCTAGAAGCCCTTTGGGGCGGTCCTTCTCTGCCCTACGAGCCAGAATGGGCGAAACGGCAGGGGAGATGGTTAGGGAGTCCTTGGCCTCTTAACCCTCTTCCCTTCGTCAGGGTGGTGTGGCTGACAGCAGGACACATCTTTTGGTTTTGACTAAGTGAGTGCGTGTTGACCCTATGTCAGGATCTGCTCGCATGGTCAGCCTTGAGTCAAAGGTTTTTTGTGCACAAGTGACCAGAGTTGAATGTCCTGCCTGGTTAAAAAAAAGTTGCCTTCTTCTCATTGTCTAGCCTACGATGCCAGTCTTTGCTGTACCTGAGGCTATTCAAACTGAAGAAGGAGAATGCTCTCAAGTACTCCAAGACCCTGACAGAGCATCTGAAGGTAAGTGGAGGGCACACTCGCTGGAAGACAAAACTTTAAAAGTCCCCAACCTTACCCAGAGTGGCTTCAGACCTGCCCACAGCAGCAGAAAAGCTAGCTCCTCTTTGAAAACTTTCAAGTAACTTGAGGTTCTTAGAAAAGGTTCTAAACACATGATAAATGCATGCTTTGCAGAGCAATGGCCATGTGTGGCAGCTCTTAATAAAATGTTAGGAGATGTAACCTATTTTTATTATGAAACTTAACTTATATTTTTTAAATCTTCCCACTTCTTTTCACTACCATCCTTCTCCACACTGATAATCTTAGTTTCCTAAAATGTCTGTGGTGTTCCCACACGAGTACACATCTCTCTCTCTCAAGTCCCGTTCTGAACATGACGTGGGACCTTCTGTAGCTTTCCTACAGGGTCTAGTCTTAAGGCATTTCACTGGGCTTGCAAAGCCCTCATGGGCCCGCTTTGTTCTTTATCTAAACTGTGTGGGCCGCATACAGCCTCTCTTCTGCAGTCTTTGTACATTGTGTGGCTCACTTCCCTGTGCCCTTTTATGTGTCTCAGGTGTACTCTTACTTCTCTGCCTCCTCTGTGAAGTCTTTCCAGAACACCCCTCCCAAATCCAAACCACACTCATTGCCATTGACTCAAGTCCAACTCATAGCATCCCTATAGGACAGACTAGAGCTTGCCCCCTGCGGCTTGCTGAGACGGTAAGTCTGTGGGAGTAGAATGCTTCATCTTGATCCTGAAACACCTGGTGTCCCTTGAACAAGCTGCTTTATGCTTTTTTCATGCACACACATTGTGCTCTCGTGTTGATGAAGCCTGAGAGATGTTTGGGCCCAAGCTTTGAAGATATTTAGTACTTCATAAGTAGTGAAACGGTGTGTGTTTAATAAGTGAATTTTATTTTCTTCACAGAATTCTTACAATAATTCTCAAGCTCCGTCACCTGGCTTGGGAAGGCAAGTAAACTTTAATTCTATAAAATATCATTTGTGATCAATGTAAAATGGATAGGGCATACTTTTTTTTAAAAAAAAGAACATGACTAGTTTGTTTGTTTTTTTTTTTTAAACATTTTATTAGGGGCTCATACAACTGTTATCCCAATCCATACACACATCAATTGTGTAAAGCGTATTTGTACATCATTTCTCAAAACATTTTCTCTCCATTTAAACCCCCGACATTAGGTCCTCATTTTTCCCCTCCCTCCCCGCTCCCCCCTCCCACGAACATGACTAGTTTTTAAAAAATTAAATCCATTCCTAATGTTAGTATTTTATGTTCTCTATCCCAATAAGTAATCATGTTTTCCCTCTTCATTATTTGTAAGTTGAATATATAAATGAATATTACCTTAGACCAGAGATGGGAAATTTTACCTGCAAAAGTTTTGTGTTTTCCACAAGACTACCTCAACTCTTCTCCCACCCTGATTTTTGTAATTACTTGGCATTCCTTACCCTGGGCTTATCTTTACTCACTTCTTGGCACTGCTGGCGTCTAATACCAGTGCTATGGCTGTAGTTCACCTTGTGTCCCCACAGCCCTTTCTCTCCTCCCACCTGTAAAGACGAGAAGCTCCGGGAGAAGTTTGTATTTTGCTTAGTTGTTCTGTTCAGTTATTTGGTTTATGTGAATTGATATTCCATCTTTGCTATTTTTCTAACTGAACTTATAGTTCTAGAAGAATGTAGATAAAAATATTCTTAAAGAGCCTTTCCCCCAACTTCTGTTTGATTTTTCTTTTCTGAGTATTATAATATGGTCACGACCGTGGCATTTTCTGTAGATTTGATTATTCCTGAAATGAAAGTCAGAATTAAGCGTGCTTATGCTTATTTCTTAGAAGTATTTAAGAAGCCCGAGTGGTGCAGTGATTAATATGCTTAGCTGCTAAGCAGAGGGCAGGGATTCAGACCCATCAGGCCTCCACGAGGGGAAGCTGTGGCAGTCTGCTTCCACACAGGTCTCAGCCATGGAAACGATGGGGCAGTTCTACTGTCCCCTGTACGGTTGCTGCGAGTTGGGATGGACTCGCTGGCCATGGTTAGAGATAAACAAAAATATAGTTGGAGAGAAGTCTAGGCAATCATAGTTGGTTGGAAGCGCTATTATCCATTTTTGTCAACATTGAATAATTAGGTTGAACTAGGAAATTGTCAGGGATTTTGGAGCTCAAAATCAAAATGTTTCTATTCACCACCATAAATTTGGGGGTTAATAACCTAATTGTATGTCAGAGAATAGAAGGAATTGTCCTGGGGATAAGGAGATCTGGTTTCTGAGTCTTTGAAAGACAGGCTACAACAGGCTAGGTGTGTAGTGTCATTTATCCCCTTCTCTTGATCAGTTGCCATTCATTAAACAAACGGTAGAGATAAGATCATGGGTGCGCGTGGCCGTTATTGAGGTAAGTACTCAGAAGATAAAAGTACTTCTCAGAAACCGTTTCTAGTTTAAAAACACCTTTAAAATGTCAAAGCCTTCCTGTAAGAAGCACCCGCAGCAGTACTTTGATTTCTTCCATTCACTTTATCCTTATGAATGAGCTTCCCGTGTCTCCATGTGCAGCAAAGCCGCTGGGATGCCTTCCCCTGTGTCACCAAAACTGTCACCAGGCAATTCCGGAAACTACTCTTCTGGAGCCAGCGGTGCTTCAGCAAGTGGATCTTCCGTGACCATTCCACAGAAGATCCACCAGATGGCAGCCAGCTATGTTCAGGTTACATCTAACTTCCTCTATGCCACTGAAATTTGGGACCAAGCTGAACAGCTTTCCAAAGAGCAAAAAGGTAGGTCGGTCTCTGGGCAATGTTGACTGTGGGATGGAGTTAATTGTTACAAGAGATTTTTATGATCTAGTGATATGTTGACTGATTTGTGTTTAGTGTACTGTTGAAAGTCAGTAATGATTAGTTTGCTAATGTTCATTGCCCAGCAATTCTACTGACTGTAACAATTTTGTAAACGAGTCTTTCATACTGATGACAAAAACAAAACGGAAAAAAGTTCTTGATGTAAAACCAACGTGCTGCTGCTTCGGGAGCATTAAATGCAGCTCCTCTTTATAAGACGGGGCCCCTGCTGATGGTCTGTGGGGAAATGGAATGAAAAGATCCTGGGATTTTCCCACAACCTTTCTGACGCCCCCTCGTATACTTGATCACCCTGTGTGGAGTGCTTTCCAGTCTGAGTTCTCTGGGATGGTTCACAGTAGTTTGATGCAGGGCTAGGATGGCATCTAGACAGTTTGTACATCTGTAATAGATGCTTCCTGATATGAAAGCATGGACATACTGGACTGCTAGATGAATGGGAAGAAATTGTATGATAAAAAGAAGCGAGAGCATGAACACATTTCTGAACATACTTTAAAATTTGATCCTGGAAGCTTTACACCCTAAATGCACTGTTTTCTAACCTAAACCAAAAACCCAACCCTTTACCATCGAGTCGATTCCGCCACCTGACATGGAGCGTCTATAAATCTTTACTGGGGCAAACAGTTAGCTTCATCTTACTCCCGAGAGTGGTGAGTGACAAGGCTTTGTCACTCCTGTACAGAGGGACAGACGAGGAACCCCGCAGGGCAGTTCTACTCTGTCCTATAGAGCTATGAGTCGGAATCGACTTTTGGTTTTGGGCATTGCCTAGACCCAATATTTTATTTGGAAACAGAACATTTATTAGGGATTTTCTCTTCTGACATTCCTATTGCTTTTATTAACTGGAATTTTATAAACAGAAACCATCTCTTCATTTAGTTCTTGCTTTGTTTCATTCTACTGAGATTGTGAGCATTTTCTTTCCTTTGTTATTGTTTTTTTAAAGAATTTTCTACATTTTAAAATTCTTGTTCTTACTGTCAGGTGCCTACAGCCCTCAAATGTTTTCTCTCAAAATTTTATTGGGATCAAATCTTAGGCTACTGCTATCCCGGCCTCCTTTCTGCACCTCCCTGACACAGGGCTCTACTGGTTTATTTAGAGAGAATGCCTTTATTTCTCGCCTTTAAAACACCCAGTATCATAAAAGATGAGTTTTAGTGTACTGATGGTAAATATCTTATGATTTCAGCAGTGGGGTTGGATTCAGGCCGTCATGTCCATCTAACCTCGCAGGCCATCTTGTGGGGGAGCATGCCAATGCTCCCTCCTTTATGACACCCCTTGCTGCTTATGCAGAAACAGCACACATGGGATGTTTTGAGTAGCAAGTAGCGCTTTGTGGCACTTGGTCTCCATTCTAGTAATATTTTCTGCATGGTAGTAAATTATCATTTCAGTCTGTGGAATTCTGCTTGTATGTATAAGCCTTAATTTCTGACCATAAATTTTGTTCAAAAAATGTTATGTGGTTTGGGAGGGAAGTAGAACTTCGGGAGACTGAGGGACGACGTTCCTCTAAGTGTGAACAGTGGGCTGCTTGGGGTGGGAGGGAGTGGGGTTTGTGTGTTGGGGGAACGTTACTGAGTCTAGACTAAAGACTTGAAAGCAGCAGTCATTTAATGAATGTTTTTGGTTTTCTAGAATTCTTTGCTGAACTGGATAAAGTAATGGGCCCTCTCATCTTTAATGCAAGCATCATGACAGACCTAGTTCGTTACACCCGGCAGGGACTGCACTGGCTTCGCCAGGATGCCAAGTTGATCTCTTGAACAGAACACATTCTCGTTGCCTCTGATTTTCTCCACAACACTGTGTCACCTCACGAAGGAAAACTGCCATGCCACGCCAGCTAGACGACACTAAGATGAGGAATGGTTCTCCTCCCTCCCCGTCCGTGCGCTGTTTTTAATAACCCCAAGCTATCATGTCAGTGGATCCCTTCAATGCTCCCAACATGAAAAATGATTTAAATGCTTTCAAGCCTGTAGCACATTGATGAGATAGTTTCACTTGCCTGTAATAAGATTGAAATTCCAGTTGCAATTCATAAGTAATCAATTGAAATTTTATTTATTTAAAAAAATGTTTTTTAAAGTTCCCAGATTGGGGCTAGTTTAGTTATTTCTACCTACAAATTAACTGTTTACTATTTAGCATAAATTTAATGTAGACATTTTTATTTATATGTTTTGCGAGCTTTGTTACTTAATAGTGTCTTTTTGTGGTAGCTCTTACCAAACAGTAAGCCTTGGTTCACCTTAGATATAGACAGATCCGCTCCACACCTGCTACCCGATATTATTTCAAATCTCAACTACAGTTTTATTGCAGAATTTTTATTTAGTATTAAAGATAATCTCGAAAAATCACTCAAGTATGGGAAGATGGCACCCTACGTGGCTGAAAATGAAATGAGTTCAATTTGGTATGCATTATTTCAAAAACTTGACTGTGTTAATAACACTACAGCCTTCACAAGGTGACTATAACGTGCATCTAATGCATTAAATTAAAGAAGAGGGCAGGCCGACTTTCGTTTCATAAAGGGACAATCTTGAACTTTATGGATTTCATTAAAGCGCTTCTATTATCATTTGACACTTAATTGAAACAGTGAGTTACTGTTGTAAGAAGACGCTAGCTCCCAAGAGAGGCCGCGGAATTTTCTATAATTGCCAATGTAGGAAGGCTAAAATTTCTCATCGGGATTCTTCTTAGCTTCCCCCATACCAGACTTTCTTACTCCGATGGGGAACATGCAGTGGCTGACGTCAGAATGGGGGCCCTTTGTGTGTGTGCTGTTGCTCTACAACTTAACCATTCTAATGCCTGCTGTAGAGGTGGTGAATTTCTCCTTTCCAAACTGTTTTGTGAGGAAGACTTGGCTCTCTACTCCTGTAAACAGTTACAGTCTCAAAAACCCATAGAAGGGGCCGCTGTGAGTCAGCATTGACTTGACAGAATGAATTAACTTATCTTGTATTGACTCCCTTTGTATGACGAGGGCCCCCTAATGACATGTGTTTCTGATGGGAGTAGAGAAGCCACACTAGGAAGACCTCTACCTTGGTACAGTGTGAGTGCTCAGCAAGCCGAGGGGAGCAGGGCTGGTTTCAGAAGCCTGCCTCTAAGACTTGCATGATCAAAGTTCTTTTCTCTCTACAAAATGCATATAGAGTCAAAGGGGAGACGTATCCCTTCTGTGCTTTGTTTTCAGTGCCCCTATCATGTCTGGTGTGCCTTAAATCCTACCTTTAGATGAAGACACTGGATTGTTTACAAGGTGAAGTTTTACACGAGGAACAGCTCGCCTTGCCGAGCATGGTTGGTCTTGGGCAGCAATCATGGTTTTGGTTTCTTTTCTGTCTTCTTTTAGAGTTACATAAAGATGGATTCTTTCAGAAAAGCTAACACTTGGGAACGTGACTTAGTCGAACACATTGGGTGATAGTGCTTCGGAAAGAAGTTTGGCCTCCAAATTCCAAAAATGAATCCAATCAGGAAGAGAAAAAAGATTGCCCTTCTATTTTAAGATGATGGTCAAGGCTGTAGGTGGGGAACAGGGAAAGGGGATAGGAAATCTCCAAGTCCAATGGTGCAGCGAGTCCTCCGTGTTTGAGTCTCCTTTACACTCATTTCTGGAGTTTGTAAATGTTCATTGTCCAGTGGCTTCTTCACAGATTTGGACCTCAATTTGTTGTTTACATACCATTGAAGATAAAGATCCACAAATTATTTCCAATTTAACCTTTTCCTCATGGAGAAGTAGTCTCTAATGCTTTTCTAATTTAATCTTACCATGTGTTTTAGAACCGTTTTCCTTCAAAGGACAAGATAATTAATTTAGTCTAAAGACAAGAATAACCTTGGCCAGGGCTGCGTTCTGTCCATCTGTCATTTCTCTGGCCCTGGTTCCTCAGCTTGCAGCGATGTCTCAGAAATGAATTCATAGTATCATCCAGGCGTCTGGAGTTTCCGCACCAGCAGCCATGGGTGCCCCTGGGTGGCAGTATGCGCTAGTCTGTGTGTCCTGAAAGGCAGTGGGGCATTCTGGGACCACACTGCTACTTGGCGAAAGCAGAGCTTCCTGCATGTTTTCTGGTGCTTTCTCTAAGATACTCTTTTTTAAAAAAAACAACTGTGTTAATTCTTAGAGAATGAATTTTCAAGCTTTTCCTAGTGGAGGATCTTTCTTACCAATGATAATGGGCATTGGCTCAGAATGGCATCCTAAAACAATTGAATTTCCAATGTCATGGTCCGTGGAAGCACCATTCCTCGTCCTCCTCCTCCTCCCGGCCTGTCTGCTCAAATGTCAGTGTCATCGGCGGCCTAGCACATACTTTGAACTCTTACACAGGCAACCGTTCCTCCCTCAGTAGTTGTCTTCAGTGTTTGCTAACCATTTACAACTGAAATTTACAAGAGGCTAAAAACTTAGTCTTGTACTTACTATATAGTTAATAATAGAAATAGCAACTCTTTTAAAAATTACTCTCTTGACTGCTCTTTAAGACCACACTTGTATGCCAGGAGGCAGTAGCCTACAACATTGGACTCTAAGCAACCAATGCCCAGATAGCGCTGGATGAGGTGGTCACATGGTGGTCTTGCCAGCCCAGGCTGGGTTGCAGGGAGCCCTTCCAGGCAAATCCGGCATCCACAGCCCAGCGACTCTAGCCTGGCTGGGGACACCTAGCCCGTTTCTTGCCTCAGTGCCACCATTTTCTGTGCAAGTAGCCAAGAGGTGACTCGACACGCAGTGAGTACTGGTCTGTTCCAATAAACGTAGAGGTAGCAGCTGAAGCCTGGAGAAGGTTGGCCAACACTGACTGAATTCTCCAGGGTCACAGCAATCTAGAGCAACGGCTCTCAACCTGAGGGCCGCAACCTTTCACAGGGCTCACCCGATTCATAGAGTAGCAAAATGACAGTTGTGAAGTAACAACGAAAATAATGTTATGGTTGGGGGTCACCACAACACAAGGAACTGTATGAAAGGGTCACGGCATGAGGAAGGTTGAGAACCACTGCTGTAGAGTAATGTGCATGCACGCCCGCCCACGCATGCGCCTCTGGGAGCTCTTGCGCCAATGGAGCCGTAGGCATCCGGGCTGCACTGTGGATGACACACTTGTGGCTGTTAAATTTGTTGTTGTTGTTTTTCCTCAATTGTTTCTTTTCATTAAAGAAAGGTGTAATCAGACTAGATCAGAAAGCTTCATTTTGTATTTAATGACAGCCACTCCGGCAACCGTACAGGTGAATAAGCTCACTTTGTGAAGCAAGAGCCGAGCAAAGGCACCTCTTCTCAATGGCAGGTCTGGCCTGGAGGTTTAGTCGCCGACCGGCAGCTCCAGTAGTGATGCCGAGTTGTGTTAAGGAAGGGTGCTCAGTGTACTCTTCTAGGTGTGAGGGTATGCAACTTTGGATTTTAAAATTATGTACACATACACACTTTATATATATGTATGTATGTATGTATAAAACATGAAATTAGTTTGTCAGAAAATGTGTGTGTTTAGTATTTTAGCTTAGTGCAACTATTTCCACATTATTTATTAAATTGATCTAAGACACTTTCTTGTTGACACCTTGAATATTAATGTTCAAGGGTGCAATGTGTATTCCTTTAGATTGTTAAAGCTTAATTACTATGATTTGTAGTAAATTAACTTTTAAACTATATGTGAGCCCTTCTGTAGTGCAATAGGGCTCTTAACAGGGTGGGAAAGATTTTAATTTTCCAGTTGCTTATTGAACAAAATGGCTTCATATTGTATTTTGAGTTATAGGAGTTTGCCTCTGGGTCCCAGCAATATCATCTAGGGATGACTCTTTGAAGTGGATTGTAATGCCTTTTTTTTAAAAAAACAACAACAAAGTAACATGGGGAGCAAAGCATTTCAAATCCTTTATAGATTCCTGTCACCCATATTCCCTAATGGTGCAGAACACATTTTATTTCAACAGCCTGTATCGCTCATTGTATCGGAGAGGCAGACTTTTCCCCCCTAATAATAAATAATACTGCATAACCCAGATGACTGTTCTGTAAGGTCAATAGAAATAATGAGTACTAAGTTTTGAGTGACTTGAAATAAATAGTGGCAAGGACCCAAACTGGCTGTGGTACTAGCATATCTTGCTTTTTTTTAACCCATGGAGAAATTCCGTTCAGAACTCTAGACCTTAGAACCAAGGTAGGAAGTGATACAAAGCAAACTAGTAGTTGGGTGAAACGCCTTGGTCTGCGATCCCCATGGTCGGCAGTTCGAAACCACCAGCAGCTCCATGGGAGAAAGCTGGGCCTTTCTACTCCTGTCAGCAGTTACAGTCTTGGAACCCCACAGGAGGTTGCTATAAGTTTGTTATAGAGCTTAATCACAGAACTTCAAGGCTTTCAAGTGAGGGCTAAATCCAGCCGTCGAGATGCTTACCACCTGGAATAGCAACCCAAGGCTGGGTCAAGTCACGAGGCTGACTGTCAGCCCAGACCTCTCCTGCCCACTGTTGCTCAGTTAAGCATACATTGGCTAATACTTAAAAAGAAGCAAGCAAACAAAAAGTCCTGTAAATGAGCGTGGGAAATCTCCCACCCAGAAATTCTAGTGATAGTCTGTTTTGACCTCTTCCACGTGAGATTTCTTTTCTACTTTTAACCATTGGAATTTTCTACCCACTGTTGTTCTCTCGGGAAAATGGCTACACGGAAACACTGCCTTTCAAATCAATGCCGTGATGATCCATAGCGTTGCATTTATTGTTGCTGTACAAGAAGTGTCCCCATCAGACAATGTTTTGCACACACCTGGATAATCATTGACATGCACATTCAACAGTTCTGGGGGGCGGGGTGGGAGGGGAGGGCTCACCGACAGAGCTGGCTTGGTGGGTGGCATTACCTGAAGGGTACCACTGTTGAGGACCAGATGGCTTTGGGAACCGTGGTTACGAAAATTTCTATCTAGCCTCCGTTTTGAACGGTTTTAAGAAGTTTTGTATATGGAGGATGGAAATGCTTATATATTTATTAAAAATCCTTTTATTTGAAATTAAAATTATTTGGTGAATAATGGTTTGATATTTGGGGAGGGTTTTGGAGGGGAGGTAATGCCACTGATAAATTAAAAGCCTTGTTAATTCTTCTGAAAGGTACTGTTAGCACCTGATAGGATGCCTTTATTTGTACATGATCCACATCTTTGTTTTACATTTCTTTTATCCAAAATATTTAGGCATCTTACGTTTTCAACCAAAACTTCAATTATATACTGTGATTTTTATTTGTTGCAATACATTACGATTTCAGAGGTACTTTGTGGCTCAAAAGCTAGAATTTCTAAGTCAGTATGTGCATTTCACATTATAAAGCTGTTAACGGTGAGCAAAGTATTATATACTAACTAGATTTTTCCACATCTGTATAGTATATTATATGTATTTTGTGGTATTGAGATTATAGAAAGTTTAGAGTGTCAAACATGCGTTTAATGTGTATTTTTAAACAAATTTATGGCAATTAAAATATTTGGAGACAAGGGTATCACATTTCAATTTGTAAAGATCTTTTTAACTCTACTGTGTCATTAAGATGCTTTGTATAATGCCAAACCATAGCTGGAGAAACTAAGTTTAATAAATATCAAATAGATTTTCTGTATTAAAGTTGATAAACACTGTGCTCTTTACCCTGCTGCAGCTCGCACTGTGCCCCTCTCACGCAGGCCCGGCTCTCAGTTCACCAGCTCAGCCCGCCTCTACTGGTGACAGGTGTTCGAACGTGCGGGCCCTGGGTCCTAGTGCTTGCTTCAACATTCACCCTGCTCCAGCAGAAACCTCGGACACATTCTTGTTGTGTTCTTGGTGACTTGGGTCTTTATTGTTTTTATTTTACCAAGCTGGACGTTTCTCCCGGTTCTGGCACACGTTCAGGCATTCATAGACTTGGGGCCATCATTAGGTGGCAGGTGCAAACTTGCCATATTTGGCACTTCAGGGTTCTGTACAGGCTGTTGATGAGCTGGGACCCGGGGCCACAGCGTCTGAAATTGCCAAGGCTGGTCTCACAGCTACTGCTAACGTCCTGCCCGTCATCTCTGTGTACGGCCTTGTCTCTTGAAAACATGATCTCATCTCCTTCACACGGAACAGATTCTTAGCCAAGGGCTATTCTATTTTCCCTGTGGTAAGCAAGTGAACCCATCACTCGGAAGCTTGAATCCAGATTGCCACCCAGAATTTCAATTTGAGGCATTTAATAGTATACATATAAAAAATAAACTCAAAAAATATATATATATAAAAAAATAAATAAACTCATGTTGAAAATTTCAGTCATGTTTATCCAAATAACAGTCTAAGAAGAAATGGAGACGTAATTAAAGCACACATCTGTCTTTAAATATTAAAAATACAAGATTGCTTCTCTTAGGTGTCTCCCAAATGCAGTCAGTCAATACTCCATAGAACGGAGCATTGAGGTGAGTGCTGTCCTTTCTGGTACACGTATCATTCCTGGGCCACACTGAGGGAACAGCGTCTCTTTCTAGAGGGAAGAAAAGGGTAGTGTTTAAGACAAAAGATCCGACAGTGCCCAGGGAAGCCTCTGTTGCATTTTCTTACACTCATTGGTCCAGTCTCTGGGAGGCCAAAGAAAGGGAAAGGTACCCCCCTTTCCTGGGACCTGTTCTTGGCTCCCAAGGGATTCTCCTCCAGGAAGCTTCCAGCCTGATCTCACTTCAGTCACCGTTCCCAACTAGTGTTCATCCTTGGCCTATGGTTCCTGACTTCTGCCCTGTCCAGCTTCCCAGGGCCAACCAACCCTGCCCGGGTATGAGGAGCACCTGCACAATCTCGTGGTACATTCAGAATCATCTCGGCAGGAGGCTCCAATAGGCCTAAGGGACACTCCTCTCCAAAACGGGGTCATTCTCTGCAATCTTCTCTTTGCTGGACCCAGTGCCGGAACTGGGGAGCCGTCTACCTGTAGGGCAGAGATAAGTGGGCTTCAGGTATGGAAGAGGTGGTGTTCTCCTGTGCATCCTGAAAGAATGATCACCCCCATAATGCTGCTTATTCGGAGCAGAGGAACCTTCCTTCAGTCTGGTTCCCAAATTCACCACCACACATACATATGCCACACACCCTTCCTTACCTGGCCTAACAGCAACAGGCAGGTCAAAAGCACTGCAAAGAGTTTGAGGTGCAACATCTTGACAGGAGAGTGTTTGAGCCAGGTCAGTCCCAGTCCCCACTTCTTTTTATAGGTTGAAATTCTCCTCTTTGCCAGAAGAGATGAGGGCAAAGTTTATATTTGCAACCAGGGTCCATTTAATAAGTTAATGTCTACCAGCGGAATGTGCTCAAGGTCTGCCTTTTGGGCACGTTGTATTTACTGATGCCTCATCTGGACTTTGAGGGACTGTTGCTGGCTTGGACCCTCTCCATGTTACCAAAAGTCAGCACTGCCCTCTCCTCTTTGGAAGCCACATGAAGCAACTGAGGGAGGTCAGGCACCTGGCCACGTTTTGGGTCCAAAATAGCCTGATGAGATCATTCTAATCAAAATAGAATTTTAATAATGTCTTCAGAAATGGTATTGAACCTTTGCCTGTCAGAGAAAGACGAACTGGTCTATTGTGTCCAGGAAATTGGACAAAGGCCTCATCTCCCATTTGTGGAGTGTACTTTGCAAGTGCCCCAGATCCGGTGTTACCTGCTCCAGATGGCGCCTCAGGGAGGATGAATACCTGGATAAGGAAAATTCACCATCTGACCCAGCTGCCATGTCTCCCCCGGGGAAGGGGAATCAAGTCTTTGTAGTTCTGTTTCAAACACACGAGTGAGGAACTTCTAAAGGAGTGGGCGAGCTTGGGTAGACCAATGGCAAATCCCGACTTCGGGCTTTCCTCCAGTATTTGCGGGGGCCGTTCACACAGCATATCTGCTGCAGCTTCACAGAAGCAGGCAGAGCGCTGATGAGGAGCAACATGCCCAAGTAGGAACGGCTGCAGATTTCAAGAGCAAGAAAGGGCATTCCTTACCCAACAGTCATGATGACATGGGATCTTGAATACACTTGGGGCAAAGGGGTAACTTCTGCATGAGGAGATTCCTAAGACTAGTTCTTCCCGTGATGCAGAAGGAATAACCAAGACAATTGCAACACAATTCTTTCCTCAGCTGGAGCGCTGAAACGGCTCGGAAAATGACCGAACACTCTTGGAGGCCCTTCTCAACTTCAGAATTGGCTGTTTGGCTGAGTTGCTTGTTCCCTTACCTCAAGGAAACGTGAAGGAGATGCAGCACAGCTGAAGGTGGAGCAGGATGGCGTGCAATCGTTGGGGATGGAGGGAGACTCTACCAAAGGGAGTGTGTTGGGGAGGCCTCAGAACGGGGTTGAGCAAGGCTTGACGCTACAGATGGGTCTACCTGGGCCAGTCCTGTTAGGACTGTGGAGGGAAATAATACTGCTAAACACCACTTTAGGAACATTGAGAAAAACATCTAGGCCTAATCCACCTACCATAACCTACACTGCAAGACTAGCATTTTGCACCCATCTGTAATCTCTGAGTTTATATGCTGGATGACAACAGGTAGGGGCTTACCTAGGAGCTGGGGGAGGGAAGAGGCGATGTGGTGACCTAGTGAACGAACATTGACCAAGAACACAAGTCTGATTAGATAAGCAGAAACAGAACGACGCGATGTCCTAGAGCCAGTTGGGTCTCTGGACTCGGGGCTAAACCACCCTGGAGTGACAAGGTGCCAAATGTAATTTGCTCATCCCAAAGTAAGGGATTTCTTTCCAACCCTCCAATCTGCACCAAGCAAAACCAACCTAGCCTTTTATGTGAATTGTGGAAGTGGGAGGAGTGGGACGACATGGCAATAACACAGCCTCATGCCTGTATCTTGTATGCCACTTCCCCTCACTCATAAAAAATAAGACCCAGTAACTATTACCAGTAGAAGTAACTACTGTTAGGGAATGATTTCATCATATATACTCAACTTAGGTTTTTGTTAACTGTGCAAGCCTCTGCCAGAGTTAGAAGTATGTCGCCTACCTATGAATTCATTCTGAAAACGCTTGGATTGCAGAGAGCATGTGACGTTTTCTCAGACAAGCCTTCAGGTCACTTTAGGGATGTGGACAAGTGCTGTCAATGAAGCTGAATGTGCACAGGCTAGGGCAGTTTATCAATTTTAGCTCCAAGAAGAAAGACATTAAGCTGGGTAAAGGCAAAAATCAATTTCTAAAAATGAGGTTAAAGAGAATAAAGAATGCTTAGCTGACTGGAACTCTGGAACCTGAGGTCTAGGCAGGGCGACGGGCCGCCAGGTAGGCATTTGGGGGTTTCAACTGATAAGTTTACATGCTGCTGAGCTGAGTGCCCAGGATGAAACGAGAGAATGAGGATGTAGACACCCGAGCAGCTATTTGAAACGCACTCCAGGCAGAGATCATTAAGACTTAGAAGTAATTGGAAGCTTTTTTGCTGCCCTTGAGCAGGAGGTGCCTAATAAAAGATGAAAGACTGAAATGGAACATCTTTTCCAGGTAAAATTTCAACAACGGGTCAAAGTGTACTTGGTTTTTTTGCTGGCTGGAACTGGCAGGCTTGTGGGCCTTCCCCAGACCTGCATCTTTGGCAGTATGTGGACAGCTTCCTCTACAACCTATGATTAGGGGGTGGGAGGCCTGCTTGGGGAAAGCGGTAAGTGGATAATGGTCATTCCACACAGGCCCATTGAGTTGGAGGCTCCAGGCAGGCAGAGCATATATAAGCTTTGACGTTAACAGCACCTGCCCTTTAAAAGCCTCTACCGTTTTTTTCCTGGTGGGTTTTAGGGATTAGTCCCTAAAATTAGCCCACACATGTACAAGGGCACAAGCTGCGACAGCTCCTCTCCCCCGTCCCCTACCACAGTGCCTGCTACGCAGTGAGACCCAGGGCCCCCAAGCTCAGAGGCCTAAAGCCGCCTAACAGGTTTAGCTGTGAACCACTAGATCAAAACACTCACAGCAGGGCACTCCTGGCACCCAAAGGCCTAAGACCAACTTACTGGGTGATTTGTCTGAGCTGAGGAAAGGCAAATCGGATTTTTTCCCCTTGAAGTCACCAAAGAGCAACAGCGGGGAAATAAAGTCACCGGTACGAGGCTGGGAAAAGGGTGTTCTGCTAGGAACCTTGGGCCCAAACCAGGGAACTCCTGAGATTCAAGACCTGTCCAGACCAATGATGTAAAGTTGAGGGGAACATTCACCTCGTGGGTCTGCTCAACTATCAAATTGTTATAGGATTCCTTGACTCTGTCCATCAGGCATCACTCTCAGTAAACCCAGAAAAATTGGGCTGATAGGTGAAGCAAGTTTTCATCAGTTTGCCGTCTTGTTGGGCCTATGCTTACCACATCCGACATTATCACCACAACCTTATGACCGTGCATTATTATATTTTATCTCATGGTGAGAAATAGGCTACAGAACAGAAGCTACTGTTAAATCGGTGAGGAAACACTCATGTAAGGGTATGGGGCCAAGTCTGACTCAGCTTTCCCCCTTATTCTGCCTCACAATCAACATATAGTTTAACCGGGGTTTTTAAAGAGATGGCTCTATATCAGAAAGTGCCCTTAGAAGGAAGTCTCTAGAACCAGCATGTTAACTTTGGCAACCATAGTCCATCACCATCTCGTGTTACAGGGCACCTTTTATACCAAAGGGTCTAGAGCAGAAAATTTCTTCTCAAAAGAACCACATTTTATAGGCCACTTGGGCGTAAATATTTTCTTGGGGTTACCTCATCTTTCATAGTTGACTTCTGCTCAAGCTTGCCTTAGGGGGAAAGACAGTAAGTCTGATGCTCAAGTACACAAACTGGCTCCAGAGTCCACTAGTTACAGACTGCAATTTCAGGCTCATTACTTAACCTCTACTGTGCCTGCATCCTGATCTGCAAAATGAGTTTAACAATGCTACTTACTGCACACGTGGTTGTGGTTTAAGAGAGTGTTTCAAAGAGTACAGTACATAAGCACAGTATCACATTTTCTTATTGTACAGGGGGCCAGGAACCTGCAGTCCCCAAGGCCTATGCCACCCACCCTGGCAGGTACGCACTTTCTTGTAGATCTAGAAAAGGAGAAAGCCCGATTCTTTACCAACTCCCAAACTAGCCAACATGGTCAGGTTTTATGCTTAGGGCAGGGGTGTAAAACTGGCGGGGGCCCCCCCCCCACCCAGAGGTAATCTTTTGTGGCCCACAATGCTCTGAAATCAAGGAGATCGAGACAATGCCGGACACACAATTCCCTCGTTAAATTTTTTTGCAGAGCATCATGGGCCACAAAAAAATTACCTCAGGGGCCGCATGCGGCCCACGGGCTGCCAGTTGGATACCCCTGGCTTAGCGGATGAGTTTCAGTATCAGCGATCACACCAAGCACTCTGCTCAGAAAAATGCAACGACACATCCTACAAGACATTTATTCTGTATTCAAGACCCTACAATGCAAACTCCTCTACCAGAGAAGCGTATTTCCGAGACAGGCCAACTTCAGCCAGGTGAGTTGCTCATTTGTCATTTTCATAGGTAGCTGGATTCTTCCTCTTGGATTTCTCAAACTCCTCGTTCCCCCAGGTGTAGACAAGATAGAACACTACGAATGCTTTAAAAATAAAAAAGAGTAAGCAATGAGGACATGACCTGGAACCTCAGTTCGCCTTCCAGCAAACCCCGCCCTCCAGATGGAATCAAGAACCTACTTTAAGGGGGCAGGGGGTGGGCGTGCCACTCGAGCTAGAAACAGGCTCTCCTCCGCTACACGTGTATTCTTTTTGAAAGTTTGGGCACCTAACAAAATTCATCATCTTAACCATTTAAAAGCGGCAAACTCGGGTTTTGGGGGTATTTTCACGATGCTGTTCCACGGTCACCCCGATCCATCTGCTGGTACAGACCAGGAAAGGTGCAGAATGACCTCAGAGGAAGGCATTGCGGTCACACGTGTGACCTTGGGCCAGTCACGAATGCGTAAGGAGAGCCCGCGTGGCCGGCAGTTACAGTGCCTGTCCGGCGGTCAGCACCCCGACCTGGGGCCCGGGGCCGGCCCGCTCCCCGCCCGGCCCGGCCCACGGCTCTCACGGGGCGCGACGCGCAGGATGGACGCCCGCGTGCGGCGCAGCATGTTGGGGATGCCCTTGCTGAAGTAGTGGGGGAAGGCGCGCTGCTCGAAGGGCGACAAGCTGTAGGTGATCACATGCCGCATCCGCGTCAGTTTCCCAAACTCGCGGCCCATCTTCGCGGCGGCGCCTGCAGGGCCGAGGGTGGGCGGGTGTTCGATTCAAGCCTGCGATGCGCCGCCACTGGCGCGGGGTCTCCAGCCCGAGGCCCTCCCCGCACCCGGCCGCCCCTCCCCGACCCTGACCCAGCCGCGCCCCGACGCAACGCTCCCACCACTCAGGGGTCGCCGCCGCCGCCACGCCCGGCCCGGCCCGCCCGAGCCCGCTCCCACCACGGGGTCACCTCGTACTCCACAGCCGCAAGACCCGCCGGGCTCCGGCCGTCACTTCCGGCGGACCCGGAAGCCGCAGTTGGCCACCGTGACGTCTCTTCCGGGAAATACCATTTCCCCGCTGTCTGGGGGAGGCGCTGTCGGGGCGTGGCCTGGCCTGGGGGCGGGGCTTCGCGGAGGACGTAGGGGCTGGTGCTACGCCGCGTGTAAGGTCCTGTCTCCAGGCTCCGGTTGTGTGCGGACGGGGCCAAATTTGCTGAAGGGGCAGGGCTCGGCCGATGCGTAGGGACATGGTGGCCGTGGGTCCCGGGAGCCTTGCAACTGTCGAGAGCTCCCCTGAGACCTGACGAGGTGCCATCGCACGGCAGCGGCAGGAACGGAAAAGGGCTTCCCTTATTTCCAAGCCATCAATGACGTGGTCAGGGCTTCTTTCAGTAACCGTAACTGCACAGTGTAGATTTCCCCAGGATAACAGAAGAACGGCCCCCCACATTCCGCTACACTGGAAGCATCAGATAACTGCTAAGTAGTGGATCTGCGGCTGTTAGACTGAAGGAAGAGGTTCTCTGACCGAGGCCAGCGTTCTCCCCGAATGCTCTGCTTGGGGGGACGGCAGGGAGGGGCGAGGGTTGCTTGAATCCTCCACTCGGCCTCTGGGAGGCCCGGAATTCCTTGGGAATTCCTTGTTCTCGTGTCTTCCTCAAGGCGCATTATACTTCTGCGGTCTACGGACGTTTTAGTAGATCAAATGACAAAATCAGTTGGCTGCATAAGGATCTAGTATCAGTAAATGTTTGTTAGTGGAATTGCTGGCCAATATGAGAGGGCCTCAAAAGGTTCTTTTCATTCCATTTTCCCACAAAGTTTTAGGGCTAAGCCCTCTTTCTGCAGTTGTGACAACCCTAATGGGTAGTCCCGCTCTCTGTAGGGTCGCTGTGAGTCGGAAGTGACTGGATGGCTGTGTGTGAATTGGGGAGGCCCCATGCAGTAGCTGGGAGTGTTTTGTAACACTGAGACAGACCATCTCGAAGGGAGACTTGTCAGATAATGAGGTTATATTTTGCAAACAGATCTGTTTTATCCGTCTAGGTACTGCACAAACTGGTTCTGTACCTTCTGAGTATAGGTTGACTTTCTTCCAGCAAATGGTCTCCGTCTAGGTGGCGTGCATGTCCCCATGCTTTGGCTTTTCATGGTGCCCTTTTGCCCCATTTTCTTCAAAAACATAATCACTAACCTGGTCTGAGTATCAATGTAAGAACATAAGTACTTAGGGTTGAAAAGACCCACAAAAATAAAACATTTGCTTTCTAGCACCTGTGAACATCTCTAAGCCTTTCAACCAAAATATATATGGATGGATATGCAGACCTGATCAACTAAGGATATCAAGATATTATATATATAATGGGTTAAGATTAATGGGACTGCAGTCCCAATGTTCTGAATGAGATCATTCCTAATTCATATTTGTGAGTCAGAACAGATGTGTATAGTTTTAGCCTTAGCCCTGGTGGCACTGTGGGGTAAGCATAGGGCAGCTAACCACAACACCAATGTTTCAAACACACCAGCCACTCCAAAGGCGGAGATGTCTGCTCCTGTTAAGAGTTATAGTCTCAAGTAGTCACTGGGTCGCTGGCGGTGGGTTTGGGGTTTTCATGAAAGAAAAGGTTCACAGCATTCTAAGTGACGATGTAAAAGCTGCACATGTGTGGCAAGGGAAGGTGATGGTGATGAAGAATTTGTTGTGAGTAGGAGCTGATTCAATTGTTTCAAAAACCAAACCAAACTCACTGCCGCTGAGTCGATGGGGCTCATAGCCACCCCATAGGACAGACCTCAACTGCCCTGTTTCAGAGGCTGTAAATCTTTACAGGAGCAAAAAGCCCCTCCGTTGTCCTCCCACAGAGTGACTGCAAGGTTGGAGCTCCTGACCTTGTAGTTAGCAGCCCAACTCAGAAACCCCCTAGGCCATTAGGGCTTCTTAATTGTTTTAAAGTGAGATCAAATTTACATAACATTCTCGGGCAACTATGAATTGTCCCTAAACCCAACTTTCCTAACCCAGAGACTTAGTGTCCAGTGGGAATACCAGTATTCATTCCTTAATAAGCCACTTGGGAAGCCTGGACAACCTAATAGTGCTTTGCGCTCTGGAATTTCTATGGCGATTGTGACCTTTGTTCTCCAAATCATCCTTCAATAAATAATTACTGCCAACGTACTTATTGGTAAGCACCTGGAAATGGGAGATGCGATGAAGATGGAGAAGAAGAGTAAACCCAACACCATAAACTGCGTATCAACAGTTCAGAGTATCGTCATCGATAATTTGTTTTTCCACATGTGCTGGAAGTTTCGGCAAGCACCCAAGGAGTATTTTCAGTGTCCTAATTTCATTGTCAAGAAAGAAGATTCTATTTTAAGCTGATTTCTCAGTTGTTCTTAGCCTTTCAGCTATGTAACTGGCCCATTGGGATAGCCACAGGCCAAGGTGTTTTCTCTAACTGCCAAGAGAAAATAGAGAACGACCCAAATAACCAAATAAATTTGTGTCTAATGAGCACAAATGGTCCACGTCAGCTGTTATCAGCTGCGTGATATAGAGCTGATAAAATTATCTTCAGCTAGGCACCCTTGAGGTCTAATTACGGAAGCAACACTCGTCTCCCCACACGTGTTTTAAGAGACCAAGCCAGGGTCTTCCTGGCCTTCAGGAAGCAGAGTGGTCTGGGGAAATGTGTTCCTTGGTAGTTCTTCCAAGCCATGGCCCTTCCCGGCACATTGCTCCTTTGGTGGTGTTGCTTTGCCTGGCTGTGTTCTATTAGCTACGGTTCTCAGGGTTCTCAGGGGGAAGCTGAGATCACAGGCAGTGTTGAGTTGGAACCTGAGGCTGAGCCTTGGTCCTTGCTTCAGCCTTTCGATAGCAGAGACCCCTCTGGCCTCCTTCCCCCTCTCTTCAAGGTTCTGTCTGACGAGCGAGATGGGCCACCGAGGCTGCAGCCAGACTCGAGAGCTCTGCGCTACATGAAGAGGCTCTATAAGGCATATGCTACCAAGGAGGGGATCCCTAAATCCACCAGAAGTCACCTCTACAACACTGTTCGGCTCTTCACGCCCGGTGCCCAGCACAAGCAAACGCCTGAGAACCAGGTGACAGGTGTGTCGGAGCAGATAGTTAGCTGGGTAACTTGGGCATTTCAATGACAGAAAGGAGCTGAGTCCTGCTTCTTGGATGGCGTTCGGATTTCCGTGGTGCCCAGCATCCAAATTCAAACAACTTTGGTGCTTGATCTGTTTCTTTCCTGATGCCCCTGAGGGTTCAGGTGGGCCAAGATGAGAGACTTCTGGAGCTATTGGCTCGCAAGCAGTGGTTCTCAACCTGTGGGTCTTGACCCCTTTGAGGGTTGAGTGACCCTTTCACAGGGGTCACCTGATTCATAACAGTAGCAAAATGACAGTTAAGAAGTAGCAACGAAAATAATCTTATGGTTGGGGGTCACCACAACATGAGGAACTGTATTAAAGGGTCGCGGCATTAGGAAGGTTGAGAACCACTGCTCTAAAGGCTGAGAGGCTGGGCATCTTGTCCAAAGTCAAGTCTGGGACCTGAGCATCTAGACTTGGACTTGCTTATCCTTTCAACTCTGCAAAGCTACTGACCGGGAAGTTTGCTTAAATTCCCTTTTGTGCTGCTTTCTTATGATAGCTATCTTAGGATAGCTTATGTCTCTGTTTGAACATTTGGAAGAGTCAGTCCTTATGTAATTCAGCATAAACTCTGTGTGTGTGTGTGTGTGTGTGTGTGTATGTGTGTGTGTCAGAGAGAGAGAGAAAATGTTCAAACCAAACCAAACCCTCATGCTCACTAGTTCCTGACTTAGAGCAATTGTTCTAACCCAACAAAGCCAGCTGGGCTGCTGGGGGGACCTCCTTGCTGTCCTATTGCCAGCAGTGCTTCTGGAACTTGCCTGGGATCCAACCTCCAGTGTTCTAAATTCCTTTACACAATGAAGTCGGAATGACTCCATGACAAGGAGGTCTTGTAAGTGTTTTGATTGAAAATGCCTACCAGGGGTTAGGATGTCTTTAGCACCAGTCCCCTACAGTGCTTTTCTCTCTGGAGATTCCAAGAGGAAAATGCTCTGTATTAGCTTCCCCTAAAGCCCTGAAACCTCAGATCGCAGGATTCCATGCTTTTGAAATTCACCAGCAAAACGGTTTTTGGTAGCGACAGAACAGCAGTTGCAGTTGCTGGTCGTGAGCAGAGAGGCACCTTTGTCTTCTATGTAACTTGCTTGACTTTTTTTAAGGTCGAGGCAGTGAGGGCGGGGGAGGAGCGGGAGCGTGTTAAGCAGTGCTATTGCTTTGTTTTGACTGCTGCTGCCTTCCATTGGAGCCCAAGCCCGACTGTGGCTTGTCTGTCTTCGCAGGCATCCTGTCTGTGGAGCTGCTGTTTCACCTGGACAGTGTCACCGCGCCCGAGCACTTACTCAAGTCGGTCTTGCGGTACACTTTCAACGACTGGGCCTCTCTGCCGGCCGCCGCTCACTGCACGGGCAGCCTGGAGGTCGGAGAAGCGGGGTCTTCCGGCAAGACGACCACCGGGGCCCCGGACGCCTTTCCCTTCAGTTCGCGGTTTGAATTTAGAAAGAAGCGCCAATGGATCGAGATGGATGTCACTCCGCTCCTGCAGCCTCTAGTGGCCTCCAACAAGCGAAACATCCGCATGTCTGTCACCGTTGTGTGTGAGGAAGGCCGGCCGCGGAGGCCTCGGGCTGGGCCGTTCAACACGTCTCCTCTGGTCCCCCCGTCGCTGCTGCTGTTCCTGAATGACACGAGCGCTCAGGCTTATCACAGGTGCGTTTCTCTCCACTCTCAGAGCAGCCCTGCACAGAGGCCTGAGCGGGAGAGAGGCCTGGCTGCGTGCCCCATGGGGACAGAGGCTGCTGAGTGTGGCCCCACTGCCCACCCCCATCCCCGACACCGCCGAGGGCAGGGAACTGTCGGGTCAAAAGTGCAGGGGCCCCTGGTTCCAGCTTCCCTCAATTTGAGCGAATACTTCAAACAGTTTCTCTTTCCCCAAAACGAGTGTGAGCTCCATGACTTCCGACTGAGCTTCAGTCAGCTCAAGTGGGACAACTGGATTGTGGCCCCGCACCGATACAACCCCCGGTTCTGTAAGGGGGAATGTCCCCGGGCCGTGGGGCACCGCTATGGCTCCCCGGTGCACACCATGGTGCAGAACGTCATCCACGAGAAGCTGGACTCCTCGGTGCCCAGGCCGGCGTGTGTGCCTGCCAACTACAGCCCCTTGAGCGTGCTGACCATTGAGCCCGACGGCTCAATCGCGTATAAAGAATACGAAGACATGATAGCCACAAAGTGCACCTGTCGCTAACACGCGCTGCCCCCAAGTGAAGCCGCTCTGAGCTGAGCAAAGGTGGGGTGCCTATCTGGCCTCACACAAGGACCCTTGGAGCGTCTTATCTGCGGGGCATACAGTGGGGGTGGGGCTGGGGTGGGGCTGCAGGGAGTAGCACCTCTGGGCGACAGCATTGTCAAAGGATGGCTTCATCTGCTTTCACTGAGCCTTTTTAGTCCCAATGGAAATGCAATGTCAGTGTGGAGGAGAGCTTTAAACCCCCACCCTCCCCTGTTGGGGTGACTTTTTTTTCCTTCTCAAACCAGGCTTGCTTTTGTTGTGAGGTTTAAAAAATGCAATTAGTGTATCTCTTGGATGGAATTGCAGCTCTAAGCAGAGAATCCGGAATGTGGTACTCTTACTGAAGGGAAGAATAAATCCCTGTCCATGGCATACGTTTTCTGTGTGAATGCGTGTGCTTCATTCATAAGTTTTTATTGGCCTCTTTTAAAAGGACCACCTGGAGGAGACGGAGTGTATCTACAACCTGACCTCTGTTCCACTTTGCGTCTCCCTTTAGAGCAGTGCTTCTCAACCTTCCTAATGCCATGACCCTTTCATACACTTCTGCATGTGACGGTGCCCCCAACCACAAAAGTATTTTCGTTGCTACTTCACTGTCATTTTGCTACTGCTATGAATTCGGCCACCCTTGTGAGAGGGCCGTTCGACCCCCAGGTTGAGAACCGTGGCTCTAGAGTGAAGGGAGAGGCCCTTCTCCACCGAGCTCTCCATGAAGGGAGGTTCCTTAGGACTAGTGGAGCATCCGTGCCTGTTCTTGGTGACACGGAGCCTCAGAAAACGAATTCTGCACGTGAGCTGGTTTCTATACATGAACTGATCTACATAAGATTTGTCCCATTATTTAAAGGTGAGTGTCTTGCAGATTTTGTTCAAGACAAGGAAAATACACTTTCTCCTTTAGGGGAGAAACCAAGAAGTCTTCTCCCCCACCCCCGCCCAGTTTCTCTCAGTTCCCCTCCCCCTCGCTCAGCTCTCCCCTTTGCCTCTCAGACAGTATGAACGGACTTGACTCCTGTAACTCGGGAGATTGAGAAGAGCCAGGGGCGCATCTTCCGTCCCTCGCCTCCTTATTTCAATATCTTTGCCATATGTGCACATGGGCAATGTATTTCTATTTGGATGGACTGTACTCATGCCAGTACTCCAGCTGCTGCTGGCCTGCGCCCCTCAACCACACAGGCAGCGGGGAGGAGATCTTGCCGGGCAGGTGGTGTTTGGGCATGGGGGCTATTGGGTGGCTGTTCGATCTGCCTCCTGCCCTGAGCGCCCTGGCAGCACACTTGGACAGGGCTGATGCGTGGTGTGCTTTGTTATTTCCGAGTTTTCTTAAGTGCTAAGCCATAAACAAAGCCCTGGTGGTAGAGTTGCTTCGGGTGGGGCTGCTCATCACAGGTCAGCCTGGGAGCCCACCCCCTGTTCCAGGGAGAAAAGGAGACCACCTGCTCGCGGACAGTTTCCAGCCTCGGAAACCCACAGGGGTTGGCTCGGAAGTGACTCGGGCAATGGGTTTGGTTCAGCCCACAATTCAAAAGGAACGCCTGGTTGGGAGTCGTACTTTTCGAACGATGTTTTCCTGGTGCTAACTAACCCAGGAGCCCTGGTGGCTTGATGGGTTATGTATACGGTTGCTATTTCATTCAAACCCACCAGCTAATCCCTGAGAAAGCATTACAGCTCCGAAACCCTAGGGAGCAGCTCTGGTTTGTCCTAGAGTGTTGCTCCGAGTCAGAACCAACTCCCTGGCATTAGATCTCTTGTATGCACATTATCCATGTGCACATATGCACTTGACAATTCTCTATTCTCTACTCATGAATGTTTCCTCTCCAAATCAGTCAGAAATGGAGCTGAGACAAAGGGAGAAGTAACCTAGATTCCAAATAACTTCACTTCCCTGCTGGGTAACTTTAAGAGACCCATCCGACCAGCCAGTCCCTGCCACAGAGGCAATCCTGACCCAGAGGGACCCCACACAGGGTTTCCAGGGCTATAAATCTTTGCAGGAGCAGTGAGCCCCAGCTTTCTCCAGAAAAGCATCCGGTGGGTTTGAACGACGACCTGGCAGTTAGCAGACCAACCCTTCTCTCACAGCCGGGGCTCGGAAACCAGAGGCGTTTCGACTCCATCCTATAGCGCTGCTATGCGTTGGGATTGACCCTGGCAGTGGGGCTGTTTTGTAAAGGAGCCTGCAATTCTGACAGATTCATGACCTTCCCAAGGCTTTGCCTCATTTTCTGCCATTCTTAAGATTGAAAACCCTCTGGGGGAGAAAGGACACGAGTAGTGTGGCAGTGCACCATTGGACTCGTTCGAAAGGGAGTGCTCTGGAACAGGACTGTTTCCGGATGGGACCATGTGCGAAACAGATACTGACCTCAAGGGCCCTTCATTTCCCAGTAACCTAAGCAGACTTGCATTTGGGGGCTGGAACTGAGGGATCTATCTTGGCTTTGTCTGCATGGTCGGTGGGATGTGGCCTGGCAGCTGAGGTTTTCAAAAAGAACTTGAAAGGAGGGTTCTAATGGACACCAAGCCTTACAATCAGTGCCAGAATCCAGGGGCAGGGACATACTCAAGGCTAGTAATATCAGCGGCACATTCTGAAATGGATTTACTCCAAGCACATTCTTTGTTTGGCATTTTTTATGGTTCTTTTCAGTTTATTGCACGAAGGAGTTACACTAGTCCAAGTTAAAAGTTACATCAAATGGTGACATCATACAAGCTGTGAGGTTTTAACCTTGTCACAAGGGGGAGAGGGGTTTTTTCCACTCACTGCGAGGAAAGCCTCACTTCAGCTTCGGTGAGCCACAAGCACTTGAAACCCACGGACCTTCAGCTGGTCATCCTCAGCCCATCCAGTCCCGACAGGGAACTGGCCTATCTGCCTGCGCTGGTCACCCTGGAGTTGAATCCCTTCTCCCTATTCTGGAGGCTCCATCACAGGACCGCTGCAGGCAAGCCTCTTCTTAAACG